TTTCTTATCAGTTTTAATGACAAAATAAAAGTGTAAACGATTTACTGTATTTGTAGAGCACTGACTACATAGTCTAGTTTTATAGAATTTTAATAATAAGGTTAATAAATGTATATATTTTTTAAAAACCTTAAGATAAATAGGCTACTTATGGACTTACAAAATTTTGAGCTGCAAATGATAACCACACTCATTTGAAAGAGACCTATAACATAATATGACATGAAATTCATCTAAATGTAATTTCTATAATGGATGAGGCGGTCATATGGCAGCTGCTGCAGTAAATTTGGCATATTCCAATGATTTTTGACATCGTTTTTTACATTTACCCGCTTTAAATGCTCATTGCCCGCCATGCACAGTTGGGTCCGAGTGATGGGGTGCAGGGTTTGGGCCTTGCAGCTACATTTTTAGATTAGGTTTGCTTATAATAAAATTTCTACAATTAGGTTTCTAAATACTCTAAATGTGGAAGCTTTCTAAATATTTTGCTATTTTACAATACAAATGCATCCCTTCTCCTGAGCTTGTAAAGGTCTAGTGGACAATTCCCTTTATAACTTAATTTCTAAAGGATTGTAGATAAAACTGAAGTCTAAAAATAAAGATTTTGTCGGTGGCAGGATTGCTCACTCACCCCACAGCGATTAGCACAGCAACCCTGCTTTCCAGTCAGGTGAATGTGAAATGCTGGAATCAACACCTGGAGGACAGACAGTGCGTTTAATCATTTTTGTCATTTGATAAATTTTGGATTGACTCTAACACACAATAAACCCTGTTTACAATAGATTAACTTTGATCCGCATTTGCACCACCATAATACCTTATAAGGAGAATCACACTCTTTGACTGATAAAGATAGGCATTACGCATGAAACATCAGTATTTTTTTTTATATTATCTCAGTTTCTTTTAAAACAAGGCAAAATCTTTTCCTTGCATTCCCTTTTCCCCCCCTTACATTCCTTTCCCAAATCAAATTAAGACTCTGCATATTCTCACACAGGCAGCCTATTTGTTGTAAACATGTGACTGACAAGCTCCAAACTAAACTGAGAAGCATTCACACGATATATATTATCATATATGCACGCTATGATGTTTAAATAGAAATAGAATTGATATATAGTTTACAATTAAACATAACCAGACTCACCATTATCCCCCCTCCAACCAGTCCTCCCATATATTTGACCTCCTCTGTAATTTGTTTGTTCTGCACGTACTTTACATCCCAGCCAGGAAAAAACAGCATAATATTACAGATTATGGAGATGACCGCCAACGGGTACAGACTTGTCCCGACGCAAAACGCGCATTTTCCTGTACACATGTTGCGAGGTGGGTGTTAATCCTGAAGTCAGAGAATAACGGCTGTAATCTGTAAAGTAATTGATATAAATAAGCTCCTAGATAAAAGCACTTGACGAAAAGTTTGGTCGTTGCCTCTGAGTCCTGTACACACCCTGAAGTTGTGTGTGCCTGAGTGCAGCGTTTTTATAAATACTGCTGGTCGTTTATTATTGAGTTAAGATAAGACCTGCCCATGGAATCGAGTTCCTCTAACCGCACCCTTTCTGGATAATCTTTAATCAATTATCACAGTATAAAAATAAATTGTTTTATGTTCTCTTATTTTCGAGAGACGTGATAGTTAACGTTTCAACTGAAGTAAGCCCTATAATCAAGATATCTCTGGAATCACTCATATTTTTTTTTAACAAACAAAACAGGAGTTTATAGCTTTTAAAACAACCACCATCAAACATTAAAAAACACAGTCTATATATAAATTTATACAAATCTATGTTTATATGCATTTGATAAAAGTTTTGAGGAGATTTAGAAATGTCACTCTGGTTGTCATAACAAACGGTACATAATTATTCGGTTGCATCCTGAGAGCTCACATGAAAGAAATGATAAACTGTGGGGAAATATGTGTGTGGGATGTGTGTTATATTGACCAAATAATGTTTGAACAGGGTGGTATAAACCAAATGCTTCTTGGGACTTTGGACTGTCTCTGTAGTGAGACAAAAACACCATGGTAGTGACACTGTAAAACAAATAACGTTATCTATCCATCTCATTTTCTTTGCTAAACGACAGTTGCCCAGTGCCCAGCCTATATTTATTTATAACACATACTGATTCTGCTGTTTTAACTGTTTTATTTCACTCAAGAAAGTTTCCGCACTTTTGAACATGTGCTAATATTTCCATTAAAGGATTAGAACAAATTTGCAATGACCGATAATGAATAGATTTTGTTTTTCACACAGTGTGAGTTTGAGTTTATGTTTGAGAAGAGGTGCAGTCATGGTTTATAGTAACACCACAAGAACACACCTCTCCTTTAAAGGCTTTTCCTGTTTACACAACCCCTAACCCCAGCATACTAAACATGCCGACTGACACTCAACCTTTTAGGCAAACCATGGTCAAAAAGATTTCGGATTGATATGGCCTTCTTCACAAGCATTCTTTAAAGTATTAGCAATCAGTGGATCGTCAGTGGGAGTGTCTATCAGTCAACTTCACAAAACAGTAACTTCCAATTTAAAAAAAGAAAAGTAATAAAAATTTGTTTAATTTGATATTTACATCTTATGTATCCAATGAGCACTAGTGGAAAGGTGTTTATAGCCAATAGCATACCCTTGTTTTGGAGTGTTTTAAATACTTTACTTAAGATCAGACAAAGAATAACACTCTTTGGTGTTAAACGAATATGAACCAATAATATAAAGATTAAAAAGCCCTCTTATCTTGGCATCTTATCTCAGTATTCTTTCACGATTTAATTTTTAACATGATAGTCAAATGAAATGCTTCCATTGGTGTCACATGCACAATTCCCACAAATCCCACAATACCCAATTGTCCCCCTCTGGCCAGGTGCCTTGTTTGGGTGTGATTTTTGATGCCCTGCTGACTTTTAATTGCCATTTTAAAAACATAACGAAGGTTACTTTTTTCCATCTTAGGAACATTACGTGTATTAGACCATTTCTTTAGGCTTGATGCAGAAAGGCTTATCCATGCCTTCATCACATCAAGGCTTGATTATTGTAATTCTCTCTTTAGTTTACTAGCAAATTCTATCAGGAGGCTGTAATATATACAGAACTCTGCCGCACGTGTTTTGACTCATACATCCTCACATACGCATCACATTACACCCTTGCTCCAGCAACTGCATTGGCTTAAAACCATGGGGGAATAGACTTTTCCTATGCGCCTGGAACACACTACCTCACCTATTGATGCTGCTTCTGTGGATTGTTTTAAGCAACTTTATATAGTCAAGCTTTTAAATTATCATTTTATAATTTTTGTCTATTTTTTGATACTTCGATATATGTATTTTTTTACTTCCATGTTTGATTATTTTGTTCTGTACATGCTGTAGCGCTTTGAGAAAGGCGCATTACAAATAAAATGTTGCATGACATCCACATCCTCAGTTTCACTCATACTTAGTTTGTCTATTCAGAAAATAAAAACAATTCATTTATTTTACTTTCCAGTACTCACAGTGTTTTGTTTTTTTAATGCTTGCACACTAAAAGTGGTACTTGGGGCCCACGCAGTAAAAACATTCATTCCCATTCTTTTGACCAAGTCCGCAAAACTACAAGCACATTATCTGCTTTACACTCAGTTTGCAATTGTGAAACTAACTTTTCTTTACAGTAGACAAACATAAAAAAATTGCTCTTGTGTTTCGTTTGGAAAACATTGCCAAATGTTAAATGGAGCACTCATTTACCAATTACCTACACCCTGTGATCATGTATGGAAACATTTATACCTTATTTGTTAATTTAAAAATCAATGTTTTGAGAATAATTTGCTTATATTTTATCAGGGACGTGCACAGACATTTTGGGGGCACTTCTCATAATTTATTAATTTTTTTTTTTCTTAAATTCTTTACCAAATTATTTTAATTCTCTCACTGTCATAGAATTGTTTCATACTCAACAGAGACAATGGTCTATAATCACTAGGTTTATCACAAAAGCAGGCAACAGCAATGGAAGCTATGCCACAGACTGCATGCACTCCTGGCTGTTCTCTGCTGCTCCTTTTCCAGCCTTTCTGCATTCTTTTCTTTTCTGCAATGCCCCAAAAATGAATACATTAATGTATTGATTAAATACATTATTATTATTGTTGCTATTATAATTACACCTACTTTGCATGCGCACACATGTTTGTTTTTGCAGAAGATCTGTGATGTTTTTCATGCTGTGTTTTGTGGCTTGTGTACCATTTCATAAATTGTGTGTAAGCAATTTTTAAAAAAACCTGTAATATGCATGCACCAAAAATCTGAATTCAACTGAATTTTGTGAGAATAAGCAAAGCATTGAAAGAGGTTTTAAGACAAAACATAAATTTAAAATAAACATGAATGTTGTATTAATAAATCAACATCATAAAAAGTTAATTGCCCTGTGTACTATTTTTAGGGGAATAAATGGAAACATCTCAAAAATTGCTAGAACAGTGGCAAATTGAAAAGAAAGTAAATGGCCACTACCTGGGCCATAAGCCTCCTTTTTGATCTGATATCAGTTTTTTTAAGTATCATTCGTGTAAAATTTGACATTCACAATAGGGAATAGTGACCCTTAGTTTTCCGCATTTGTTTTTACCTTATGTTTGTATGGCATGAACAGTATAAGAGCAGTAGCGTGTGGTTCTTAAATCCTAATTCAGTTCCTGTATGAGCTGCGAGCGCCCCCTGCAGTATGAACATATATTTCAGTGCCGCTGGCTGCTGATGATAAAAGCATAGAAATGTGGAAATACAAAAACGTTTCGTTTGTGAACTGAACAGTCTTTGGTTATTAGATAATTTAGTTGCATTAAAACACTTAGAAAAGGGCTCTCCTTTCTGGAGCTTTAAAAACATAAACTAGTATAAAACCAGAGACACGCACGCCCCTCCAAAACTAAACGTCATTGGTGAGGCTTGCTTTGCCGTCAAACTAACTTGAGGCAGTTTTGGTGGATTTGAGCTAATAAGACTTTTGTTATGAATGGCCACTAGTTAAAAAAAGATTTTGCTTAGACATTACAAAAAGACGGGAAAAAAGTCTCGTATCGAATGTTAGACAACGTTAGTAAGTTTAGCCATGTGAAGAGGAATCTGTCAATGTTAATTCACTGATTATTCTCTGTTCTGCAGATTAGGGTTGGGATACGATAAACGACCACCGACAGGAAGGAATACATGAACTATGGACACCTCTGACCAAGGGACGATGCCTCCGTTGAAAGAATTTTTGCTAACTTTCTTCATGCCAGAAAAGTGTTATGACCACTTTTTCATTTACTTCAACTTTTTGCACGGTGAGAGACAGCTTTATCTCGAATAATCGTGTGAAAATGTTAGTGAATTCACTCAAACATGTACTAAACAATATACTAAACCGATTCAGTTTATAATGGGTAGCATTTTATTTAAAATATTGCATGACAGATGACTTACAATGATATTTAATGTGTTTCAATGACAGATATTCAGTGTCCAATGTGTGTTTGGCCTGTAGACGTGATAATTCTTTTCTGTGTGTGCACTTTGTATTGTTCTTTAGTACCTTGCTTGAAGATTATCATGAGCAAGACTATGGGAATACTGATTTTGATGGGAATTGTTATTGGTAAGTAGTAGTGAATTTGACATCAGTCCTGCATATTTCATAACATCCAGAGTTATTACTTCAATATTTTCTCAGCTATATCGGTTGATACTGTGTTTTATAGTATGTGTGTATCTGCTTCTGTCTAGGGTTATTATAGAAAATATAAAACTACTAATATTACAAAAACACACAACAAATTCATAAAACTAAAATGAAAACAGAAAATGTAAAAAAAAAAAACATATTCAAATACTAATTAAATAAAATATTAATTTCTTTCCATAGCTCCTCTGCCTCAGATCTGTAAAATCCTGTGGTCTGGAAGTTCTAATGGCCTGTGTCTGACATCATTTTTTCTGGAGCTGTTGGCCATCTCTACTCATGCAGCTTTCTGTTACACTCAAAACTTTCCAATTGGGTAAATATTTATTTTGCATTAATGTCAAACGCTAACATATACCGTGCAGAGAAGATTGTGCTAAGTATGTGTATGCAGTCATGTTAAGACACTAAGTGTGTGTGTGTGTGTGTTTGTGTGCAGAGCCTGGGGGGAAAGTTTGTTTGCATTGATCCAGATTGCTGTCCTGGTTTTGCTCATCCAGCACTACCGAGGGAAAACCATAAAAGGTAAAGAAGGCTTAATTCATATGGAGAGAATTTCCTTTTTCATAATCTAATGTTTGTTTGGGTTTTTCATGCAGGTATATATTTTCTTGCTCTATACTGTGGCTTTATGTTCCTCCTGACCTCCCCTTTGACCCCTGTGTCAGTGGTTTGGACCCTGCATGAATGGAATGTGCTGTTGGTTATTGCTGGAAGGGTGAGACAGGACTTTTTAACCCCCCTCCCTCATCTCCATATTTTCTTTATTAAAAAAAAACTTTTGCTTTTGTATTTTATGTTGTATGTGTTCAGTTCCTCCAGGCAAGCAGTAATTTTAAATGTGGACACACAGGACAGCTGTCTGTACTCTCAGTTTTCCTGTCTTTTCTCGGCTCTCTGGGGCGTATCTTCAGCTCCCTGCAGGTGCGCACATACACACACACACACACACACACACTTGTGTTGTGTTTTCATGTTTTATGGGGACTTTCCATAGACATAATGACTTTTCATACTGTACAAACGGTTTATTCTATCCTCTTATAGTAACCCTACCCCTAAACCTTCCCATCGCAGAAAACTTCTGCATTTGTTAATTTTCAAAAGACAACACTCAGGATAATTTATAAGCTGTTTTCCTCATGTGGAACAAAACATGTCCCCACAAGTACAAGGATTTTGTCCCCATAATGTAGGGTTTACCAGGACACACACACACACTCTCTCTGTCTCTCTCTCTCTCTCTCTCTCTCTCTCCTTACACTCTCTCTCTCTCTCTCTCTCTCTCTCGCTCTCATAATCACACACACACTCGTTTTGGGGCATAAATGAGACTATGGTTGGTTGTCACAAATGTAAATTGTTTCAAGGTCTATATCTTAATAACTGTGGTGTTGAGTTAAATGTCCTATTACACAAATGCTTGTGAGAAAAAATGTTTTCTTTAGCAGTGGTTTTATATGTTGGCTTTCAAAACTCAAACACTTGAAACTCCTTTTAAATTATAATTTTGTGAATTCTGTTCTACAAACAAAAATTTTAATGCCATAGTATTTTTTTACAATGGTTGTTGAGTGAACAAGTGAACACAATAAAAACACACCATACACCATACATTAAAATAGTGGTCAACATAGAGTATAGAGTAATTTTTATAAATATCAGGTCTGGCAAGCTGTCACAATTTTATTCAATTTAAAATTATATATATATAAATGCTAAACATTTGTGCAGTTGATTAATAATGATCATAATGATATTTATTGACCAAAATTATAAAATATTTTGTATGATTTTTTTCTTTACTTCATTTTTATTTTGCAAAAATGGGGCTGTTTTACTGTCTGTAGTTAGCATGAAAGGAAAATTCATGATTTTTACATTTTTAAAATGCGTATTTTATTTTGACATTGTAAATTTGAATTAGAATATTTGAACTTAATCACAGATCTCTCTCTGGTAGCTTATGGATTCTTGACTTCTTCTTCAATCATTCAGGCGATGCATAGAATTCAGATTCCTATTCAGATAGAATAGTATTCCACACTACATTTTTTTTTTTTTACAATCTTTTGGATAGTACATTTCAATATGGACATCACAATAAGTAAGAAAAAGATCTGTCACTACTTACTTTTCAGCTTTAAACCTAATGCAGCTTCCAATCAGGAAAACTTACACTGTAGTGTAACAACATGCTCTGGTATTGGAGCATGTTGTCACAAAAGATCACTGTTTAATGATCAGTGTCTTTTTTTCTGGCCAATATTAGTATATGTTAATATTACCCATTATAATTGTATAATTGTTCACTTTTTTAATCACTCTCTCTCTCTCTTTCTGAAGGACACAGGCCTATCTCTCTTAAGTCAGATGCATGCACTGTCCTGTTGTGGCAGTGGGCTGATGCTTTTACAGGTCCTTTTGTACTGGAATAAATGCAAGACAAACCATGAGAAAGAAGAACAAGTGCAGAAAGACAAGGCTGAATAAAAGAGGTAAAATAAACTCTTCTTGTATGCAGAATGTATCCTAGTGTCCCCCATAGTACAGTATGTTTTGGAGGGCTAATTCTCAATGTCCAAATTGTGAAATATAATTGTTTTATCTCCATTAAACCATTTGTCATATAGCAATATCATATGCATATCAAAACCTGCTAGTGCATAGTGACATCCAGTTGAATTTTTTGTTACCAAAGAGATCACAATTGCATTTATTGAACGAGTTCAAAGTAATGAGTGTTTCAGCTGCCCGGACTAACAAGACCATTGAACCCTTTTCTAATGGTAATCAAATGAATTGTATGTTTTTAGTTATGGCTTTATTATAAACCACAAACTCCAAACCTCAACCAAATTAGGTTAATTCCGCAAAATCTGAATATTTGGCTAACATGTGATGAACAGTACTAATCAAACTATATTAATTTGCTTGGGCAAATGCTGCACTTCAGTTAATTGTCAATGACATGAATATATGAATAGGGTCGTCCGATCCAACTCTGTTAGATACCAACTAATTACAAACAAAAATGAGCCAAACCAATTTTTCTTTCAAATGAAGCCAAAAATAGGACTCATTTAGCATTTTGTTTAGAGATGAGAAAATTAGAGTGCTTTTCAAGTCAGCCTCTGTGTGGCAGTAGTAATGAACTCGTGTGCTTGTGAAGATTGCAAAAAGCCACCACTAGGTGGCAGAAGAGTAGTTTTTACTCTTCTATTATGGCGTATTATTGAGTTTCTACTCTTCATACGTTCTCTAGTACAGTAAATATATGTTGTTCTTTATTTTTTCAGATCTGTTTTTCTGTCACTTGGTCAGGTATATTCTGACTTGGATTTACATCTCAGATTGTGCATTTGCACTCCTGGAAAAAGAGGTTGTGAATCATCCAATGTCTCATGAAATGTTTGTATTTTCAGTTTTCAGTCTCAAGATGTGATTTCATTTCTCTTTTTCAGCATTTAGTGTTCTGCTGTACTCTGCACATATTCAGAAATCTTTTCTGTAATAAAATATGTTTCTAGTGTTGTTAAAGCTCCTCTAACATGTTGTTTTTGGGTGAAAAAAAAAACGGGTTGGGTGACAGTTTCTTGGGGATTAGTTGTGAAGTCAACAAGTAGTTTAAAGGTATTGAAATGACAGACGGCATGTCCCCCGGTGTTGCTTAGGCGCTGTGTTGACGCTGTGGTGTGGTTAGTTTGTTAGGTCTGGTTGTGTAGTCTTGGCTCTGTCTGCTTTGTGGGAGGTCTTCTCTGCGGGGCCGTGTTTGTTTCCGGAGCAATGAAAACTCGCTGAAACATGAGTCATAAAGCGTCTGTGCATGCGTGTGGTTCGCTCCTTATCTACCTGTCTGACAGACCTCAATCTACCATCATAATGATCTAATCTGTGTGTCTGTGTGGAAACGCCACACCGTGCGTGTGTTTGTTTGCCCTGCCCATGAGGGTCTGAAAGAATCGTGTGTGTGTGTTTGTGATAGGACTTGAAACTCTTGAAAGAGTTATGTTGAAAACAAAGTGATTAACTTATGTATTTCATACTTATAGTTTTTACACAAGTTTTAGAGATTTTGATTGTGTGTCTGTATTATCGGATCACTTTGATGTGTGTTGTTTGGTTGTGTCTGATAAGCAGCCCAGTGATGCAATTCTTCCGTATACCTTAAGAATGTGTTTGAGTATTTCTATCTGTGTGGGCCGCACTCGAGTGGCTGGTGGCTGATGATACAGATCCAACTGTAGATAGTCATTCACGGTGTTCTGAAATTGGGACAAACATGAACGATTAAAAATTATGAATGAGTGCAGATGAAGTAAACCTCATTTAGATAGGGGTGTTTCATGAACTTTTGCCATGTTTTTTGCCTTTATTTTTTGCTACGTTAAAATGCTTTTCATTCATGTATTTTATTGATTTACCTTTCTCCCAGACCCTATAGAAAATCTATAAATAAATCTATTGTACCTTATAAAAATGAGCTAAATACATCGATTTAAAATATTACTGATTTTATAAAAAAAAAAAAAAATCCATCATGACCAACCATTTTGCACCCCAATAAATTTTTTCAGAAGTTATTATACATGTTTACCAAAGAACACAAAAGTATGAGAGAAAAGCATGGCAAATAAGAGACATGATGTGCAGATTATTGTTTAATTTTCAAACTGTAATTTTTGACATATTTTGAAAAACTATCAAATATACTATGACATTTGGCTTAAAGGAGTCAGACAGTTTATTCTAACGATTGATTTAAAAACAATTCATTTTGACTTATGGCTGTACTTGTAATGTTCATGACTTTCAGAAAACACCCCTGTGATGTGTGTGTGTGTGTGTGTGTGTGTGTGTGTATATGAAGAGTTCAGATCCAAAAGCCTCTAAGTGCCATTTGAAATTTTGTTCTAGAATGACCATTTTTATCAAGCTTGTGTATTAAAGTACAGTAATTTAACTTAAATGACAATTAATAGGTAATCTTCATTGCCATTTAAGTGAAATTACTAAACTTAAATATACAAACTTGATAAAAATGATAATTTTAGAAGAAAATTTCAAATGGCATTTAGAGAGGCTTTTGCATCTGAACTCTTCATATATAAATATATGCAATGTTAAACATTTTTAGTAGACAATTATAATGAACCAGTGAGTGTAAATTGGAGTGTAAGTTGGTCCAAGTTGGTGCAGTCATTTTGAGTAAAGTGTAAATACACTATTTCAGAAGTTTCAGAAATCAGATGTTCAGTCTCTCTCTCTCTCTCTCTCTCTTTGTCTTCCTCTCTGTCTCTCTTCATCCACCATGCAAGAGCAGCTGCAGTGGATCAATACTTCAATCTGAGTGTTGTAATCCTTCTGCAGTTCATTGCAGCATGTCAAAACACTCTCCTTCTCCTCAATTTCTCTTGTGAGCTCACAAAGATAATGTGCTTATCAAAAATAGGACCCTGACTGAAAAAAACTGTAATTACATATTGTTTACAACAAAGTGTGTATGCGTGTGAGCAAGTTTAAGAAAGATAGAAAACAAAAGCTGTTGAAAGGTCACCTGTCTCCCATCAGACCTGTAATTGTAATAGTACTTGATTTTTGTTCCCGTCTGGTTGGATTCAGATAAAATTAGTGAAAGGAATGTGTTTTCATACTTAAAGTTGGGTAGAACTCGGTAATAGAATTAAAATCCAGTTTATCAAGCAGCTTAAGTTCTCAAAACTTTAGCAGACACATTCATCCACATATATACTGTGTTGTGCTTTATTAAACTCTCTCGTCTCGTGCAAACCAAAACACTCAGTATACAATTTCATAATGCTTTTTGGTATTTCTTCTTTGCGATTTTTAAATATAGAGAAATAATTTTAGCATTTTCCATTTTGTTGTCTGCCATTTTAAGTGCTCGAGCTCTTACAGCAGGATGGATTCTGCTTTAAAGTTTTTAAAACCGCTTTAAAGTTTTTTTTTTTTCAATCATTAGATATTCGAGTAAGTTTTAAAGATGAATCCCGCAATTTCTCCAAAAAATAAATTAAATAAAATACCGTCGTTATCAGCCTGCAATGAATTCTGGGGTAGACTAGGCCAAGAAGGATCCATTTATTGTATCCTTCATTGTGAACGGGCCTTTGGCTGATATTAAAGTTTCATACAATTGTGTCTGAATAAAGTAAAAAGAAAACACTAAGCTAGCACCAATCATTTTGCAAGTGAATATAGGCATTGCAACGTTATGATCTATACAGTATGAAAAATTGAAAATCTTGGGTAAGGGTAAGATTACATTTAGTGTTATTCAGAAAATCAAATGAGCATGCACAAATAAATATACAATATCAAATAATATTGATCAGTTAAAAAATATCCAATAACATACTGTACCAATATATCGGGCATCTCAAATAATGATATCTGAATAATGTCACTGCCTATTGTAGCCTAGATTCAAATTTACTGAAGAAACAATGTCACACGTGTGGCATATTTTAGTTTGTGTTGAACTATTTTAAGATTATTGTAGTTCTATAAATGTCGATATATGTAAAAAAGTGAGCTGATAACAGATCAGTGCTTGCGTGATTATGACTGAGATGTTTGATGCTCAAGAGCAAAGGTGAAATAATTGATGTTTCTGGCGACTCGCTAACCGTAGGTGTGCTGTATGACGTTAGTTAAGGCAATTGTGACGATGTTTTGCTCATTATTTTTTTCGTCTGTCATCGGGTTAATTTTTCTTGCTCAATAGGATGGCAAATGGTTGTTATATCACTCTCCCACGAACGAGCACCACACCCCAATCTGACTTATGCACAGACAAACCTGCTCTACTTCTCTCTCACTTTTTTTTGAGCATGTAAGTCAACCATAATAATGTTCTTGGTGGCATTCAAGCAGACAGCAGTGCATAAGTATGCAGTTGGTCCTGCTCTCTGTTTGTAGCTCTGAACTGGAGCTTAGCAACCCTGTCCCATCGAGCCTCAAAACACGCATTAGAGCCAAACTTAGATCCCTGGTTAAAAACTTTATCTGGTTACTTTATCATGCTTTATCAAATATTTATTATTTATAACAATCGTAAACGTATTCTGCAAAGGCAAAACACAATTTGTGAAAATTGAGGTATAATCGAAAAGTCTCTTAGACTATGAGCTGTTCTACAGACGGATTGACTAAACATTGCTGAGATTCAGAGGAAACTGATATAAAATCAGTTCAAAAAGACTTTATTCTCAGTTAGTGTGTTTTATTTTTGTTATATTCATGACTCATCAGAAATTAAAGAGTTATATGATGGATTGGAATAATTAGGTTTTTTAGTGTGTTTAATGTTTAAAGTCTCTAATGCTCACTAAGGCTGAATTAATTTGATACGGTAAAAACAGTAATATTGTAAAATAAAAATATTATTACATTTTAAAGTGGTTATTGTTATTATCATCAAGGTTGAATGCATTGAATATTATTTTTTCTACTCTAACTTTTGACTGCTATCGTATATTTAAGCGATGATTAAATTAAGATATTATCAAATCCGTTTGTGAACGTATTAGATAAATTAATAGTGTAGTGCATGAAAAGTTTCTCAAATTGTCTGAGTGCGTCCATGGGCATTTAAACTAAAATTGTGGAGTCTGTTCCTTCCCCTCTCTCTCTTTCTCTCCGGTGGGTGTGGGGTTGAGTTTTGGGGTTAGTTTGGGGGATTGCTGTTGCTTTGGGAACAACCTGTGGAAGCCTCTGTTTGTTGCTAGGAGATTTTATGCTTTCAACAAGAAAATCTGGCTCCCCCTTCAAATGACCCCCCCTAATACACACACACACACAAGCACAATGCTCACTCAGTTTTGGAGTTTGCCAAGTGATTAATTCTGAAAATAAGATGTTAATATCAAAACAAATCTTACACGATTGGATGATATTCTTCGTGGCTTCACGTTCTCCAACCGTTTCCCTATAGACATGCTAGTACTGATCTTCTCAATATATAACATATAATACATTAAATTACAACAACAACAACAAAAAATCATAACATAAGAGTGTTTAACTATCAAGTAAAAAGTAGCCTAAGCCAAACGTAATTGTTTCTTTGCTCTATAATTGATTGTAGCTATCTTCTTAATCATTCATTTAAAAAATATTTTCATATTTTTAAGATTAAAAAAAAATGTTTTTGTGCACAAATTTTTATGTAAACACTTTTATGAAAAGGTTGAAATATCTTGCTTTTGAATTTTATGAACAGGTTAAAGGGGTCCTTTGTGTTTTCTTTTCCTTGTCACATGACAACAAAATGGCTTCCAGTTGGTCATGCCACACTGACCTTGATTTGGCTAATTAACGGACAGATGTTAAACGTAATATTTTAAAGCAAAATTGCATTACAGAAATCATAAATATCTTTTTTAAAGAATTTCGGTAAGCCTATCTGTAGACCTTTTCTCAATTTCTTTTAATTTGAATTGGCATAGGTCATGATAGGCTATCCAAAATAAATGTGTATCCAACTTATTTTGTGTGGATTGCATTGTTAGTGTTGTTGAATAACTTAAAAAGAAGCATCTGAACCAAACATGTTGTTCAATAGATATGCTGCTTTTTAAAAGTTTTTGAAACAGTTGTATTGATTTTATGGAAGTCTTCCTTCTCTGTACAGCTTCCTGCAATAGCATTTATGGGTCCGGTGGACTATTGTCGTCATATGCGTGAGCGTGAGTGTTTCTAACTCCCATCCCCCTTTCAAAACTCTTCCTTGGCATCTCCCCCCATTCCTCCCCTCCCCTCCACCCCCGATTAGCCGGTCCTGACTGCACCATTACCATGAGAATAGCGGGGAGCAGCGAGCGGGTTAAGCTCGGGACTGCTGAGAGAGGGGAGACGAGGCACTCAATGCAACGCTAATTTTCTGCCCGGTAGGAGAGCGAGAGAAAGGAGAACAAAGGCGAGCATAAGAGGCGCTGAGAACCGCGCGCTTTTACTGCGCGCACCTGCGTGCTCAAAAGCGCAGGACAATGAGACTCCGAAACGGCCAATTACGGGCCGGACAGCCACTCACTTTCTCTCCTGGAAAAAGCGGGCAAAGTATGGAGAGAAAAAAAAAACGAGGAGAAAGGGAGGGATATTCTTCCGACCTCTGTGTTTTGATCCTCCTAACTTTTATCAGTTTTAATCGATGTCCACTTTCTTCTCGGGGTTAGGTGACGGAGGTCAGATGTCCCATCAGCACTCGCCAAAATTAGGACCCCGCCCCTCCCAAAATCAGTGTCTTCTGCACTCATTGTTCTCTTTTCTTGCTTAATTTGGTGCGCTTTAGCTAATTATAATATTAGTCATATCGACTTAAATGCGTTAATGTCGGGACCATAAGCCCGCTATCGTATTAACGATGAATTAAACGAGTCTTGTCGCATTTAAATGAGCAGCCTTAAAAAGTGGGTCCATATTTTTGATTAATCATTGGAAAAAGCTCGTTTCAGTAATTTCGCAATAAAGGCCAATGTGTTTGGGCTGGGCTGTCTTGCACTTATCACATTATCGTCTAATGCGTGAAAGTGTGTAGGTTGTGGCGCCATAGGAGAGCAACACCTGCCATGTTATCATTAAACAAACGTGAGGCTTACGTTCTTTCCAGCATTTAGTAGACCTACTCATGAACGTCACAATCTTATGTTTTGAATTCAATTTGTAAAATGTGTGCAAGTGGAAAAGAACAGGTTGAAATGCTAATCACAAGTGCCATGTTTTAACTAACGTGCAGCTTCAGCCCTGGACTGTTCTGGGGCCTGTTGCATCAAATCTGTTAGGCTAAGTTTAGAACATTATTTTGAGAGAATTTATTTCCAAAAGTTTTTATGATGTTTTTGCAACAAATATTCTATCATGTTGATTGTTTATGCCTGCTGAAATAGTTACCGCGTGACATTATTGTGTATTTAAAACAAATAGTCGTGTGTTCATATTTGAAATATAATGAGAACAAAGAAAGACAAGTGTACAAAAATAATAAAAATACTTTATTACATTTTTTTTGTTGTTTTTCTATCAAGGTTGTCAAGTCACATACAATATTATTAACCCTTACTATAAGGGCTTAAAAAACATTTCACAATACATTCTTAGTCAAACAGTTTTTTAACAAGCTCATAAAGTTTTTTTTTTTTTTTTTAATGAACATTATTCAAAACGTTTTGACTCCCTTTTATACACACAACACTTCTATTCACAAAGTTCTATTTCTCAAATGAGTTGAGAATTAATTGTTCTTTTTTTTAATAGAAAATACAGTCAAATCCCTCTAAGCAGGATCTCTATTTCATTTTCACTTTTTAATGCAACAAAAATCTGTCGAAGCTCTGGGCACAAATGTATCTACACTAACAAAAATGTCTAAACCGTTGTGCATTTCATATTTTTGCATTACCTAAATAATGAAGAGCAGCACAATGTTACAAAGTCTTGTGGTATGAAAGCTTAAAAGTAAAACTCGGGAGATTCATTTTGAGGTGTTTAGATCATCAAGACAAGCAGCGACTGAGGGAATGTATGCTCAATTCCCTTCTTTCCCTATTTAGCAATTACAGCCATGTCTTTAAAGTCAGTAGTCAGTGACATATTAAACTAGCTGGTTTATATGCAAATAATAAGCAGTAATCAACCAGGCAGCTGATTGATTAAAAACAACGGGCAGTCGATTACAGGAAAAAAAAAAAAAGTACCATGTTACTATAAGCAATTCCATCAACGGTGCACCAGGCCTCAATGACATAATCATCGAATGCTATGCAGAAAACAGACATGGACCTTAAAACAAATGTGATAGAAAGGGGCGACACACATTCCACACAATATTCTGAGGCACTTTAACAAGGCCAGAAGTCCAGCTGCCTTGGTATATCCAGTTCCGCATGTGTCCACACACCCTCATCCTTTTTTTACATATCAAGTTAATGTTCACGCATCTACAACCGACACTGCTGGCCCTCCATGCAGAGCTGAAACAGGAAGGTAATGACAGTTTCCTGATCAGATGTGAGTGAGAGGCGCTGTACCGGTGAGGTAATGCTGTTGGATATTGGAATAGCCTCTCTGTGCTCCACTGTCTGTGGTGTCTCCACCAGGGATATACATGCTAATCATGTCCCTCAGGTCTCCTTGTAAAGGACCCCTCTGATGGCTGTGGGCTCCAGTGGGAGAGTGAGACACCTGGTCCGGTTTCACCATGGACATGACCGGGCTGGGCTGCTGTGGAGTGCTGCTGTAAGACATGGGGCTGGAGAGAAATGAAAGAAAAAGTGTTAAAGTACGTACACACAAGTATTCGAATCCGTGAGCATGTTATTGAAGTGCACACACAAACACCTGTAGGAATAATTATAAACTTACGTGTAGGAGTTGGCACTATTCATGTAAGACTGTGCTGTGGCCATGGCGGATGGATACTGCAGGGCGGACAGATCATAGCGGTGAAGCTGCTGACTGTAACCCAGAGCGTCCGTCTGCATGCCAGCATAGCCACCTGTGTGACCCCAGCCGTAGCTGTCCATCCGCGGGCTTCCACCTGACCCCTGAGCCGCGGCTGCCGCCAGTAAGTTACCGGCTGATAGGGGATACTTAGCAGCCGGGTTGTCCTTCTTCAGCACGGGTTTTGTTTTACGGCGGGGTTTGTATTTATAATCTGGGTATTCCTTCATGTGCAGTGCGCGAAGCCGCTTGGCCTCGTCGATAAACGGCCGTTTCTCCGCGTCCGTCAGCAGCTTCCACTCGGCGCCCAGGCGCTTGCTGATCTCAGAGTTGTGCATTTTGGGGTTCTCCTGTGCCATTTTGCGCCTCTGACCCCGAGACCAAACCATAAACGCGTTCATTGGCCTCTTAACTTTGTCCATAGGATCGCCACCCTGTTGTTGTTGTTGTTGTTGTTGGCCGTTGACAGTCGATTTGCCGGTTCCGTGAGTCACTCCACCGTTCAGCTGGGTCATTCCCTGCGCGCTCTGGTGCGTCGGTGGCACGGCGGACTTCATATCGTGTTCCAGCATGCTGTACATGACTGACCACAGAGTTTAGTGGTGATACGTAAGTATCACCGTAAACTGCTAAATGACTTTAAATCAAATCAAATGACTTTCAGTGTCCGCGAAGCTAAACGTGTAAGCGCCTATTTCATGGACAAGTAGCCGAAGTTCAAAAGACGAGAGCGAACTGACTGTAACTATAGCGAGAAGTGTTTGTAAACGGCTAAAGACAATCAACAAGTTCTGAAGTGACGTTAGTTTGTCTTAAAAGTGAAACAGGTCCGAGCTGAGCTCACTGTGCGTCTTGCCTGCGACTCTTTCAGAGCTTGAGTGATAATAGAATTTCATCACTGTCCGCCTCCAGCTGCTTTCTTTCTCTCCACATTAGCATCACTAAAGAAGGGGTGCGGTGAATGTAGAGAGGCCAAGAGCAGGAGGAGGATTCAGTTTTGGGGAGAAGAGTTTCTGTCTTCACCTGCAACACTTTAAACTGATTTTACAATAACACTTTGTGGCCATTTAGTTATTTAACCTCAAAATCATTAGACATCAATAACATTCATGTTGCATGTCTAATGATTTATTTATCCACACTTTTTGTGAACTTTTTATCTATCCACAGTTTCAAGGAATAGCTACCATTTTGTGTCTTGTTTTTTCATTTCTGACCAAAACAACATCATAGGCTACTCTATTATACACTTGTTACCTGTTGAACTTTTGGACAGTCATTTTTATTTGGGTCATTACACAAAATTGTTTCTTTTTCTATTTTTTAGAAGGGATTTTAAAGGAAATGTTTCATGTAGGTCTGTGTTATAAATGTTGCATTGTGCCATATTTAATTATTGCAATATAGGTTGGATTATAAAGCTTATTTAAAAGTAAATTAAAAAGTATGGGACTTACAGTTACTACCCGAGCTGTGTTCAAGGTCACAACACTACAATTTGAAAAAAAAAAAAAAATAAATAAATTATCCAGTTCTCTATAGTAAGTTGTTTACTGTTAAATCATAACACTGTCTTGCTTAAGATTATTAACAAACAATAATATAACCAAAAGTGATTGACAAAAAGCACAGACATGTCTTTGAAAAGCTCACATTCTGAAAAAATATTGCCATGACAAAGTTTTTTATTTGTGGAACTGTACATCTAATGTCTTCTAATAAGGGGAGTTATGATGGTAACAAGGTTTATTCATAAAGTAAGAACACAAAATTAAGAAAATCCTTAGTGATAATACAAATATACCAATTATAGAGATTTCTTTAAAAGTTTGTTGCAATTGAGCACTGCTTTTGTTGGTGCATAAAATTGTATTCATGACTTGAGTTGTTTTAGATGTTACCACATGAAGTACATTTTCAGGTTCGTGATAAATTAAGTTTTTTTATCGCCATTGATGGTTCCATGAAGAACCTTTAACATCCATGAAACCGTTCCAATGCAAAATAAAGGTTATTTATTGGGGTAAAGGGTTCTTTAGATGATTAAAATGTTTTCCACACAAAGAAAATAAAATGTTATTACAAGAACTAATAACTTAAACTTTTTTGGGGAAACAAATGTAGTTCACCCATGGCATCACTTTTGGAACCTTTTATTTAAATGTTAAAAAACTTTACTGATATTTATTTTCATTCTCTTTTAGCCATCTTCCCTGACGCCGTTCTACGCGGATGTCTTCTACCCCAGAGAGTCGTCTTCTCTAATGACCGCAGGTGTGAGTAGTTACTCCTTATCACCCAGCCATCCATACACATTAGTTTCTATAGGCATCACTTCACACTTCTATTGTGAGCCCTGCGTCCCCAAACACTACGACTACGACTGACCATCAGTAAGAAGTGTGACAATGAACTCCCCCCCTCTGAGTTTAGCTTGTACTAACACATCATCTGAATGGTTTCTATAAGGCCTACCAAAAAAGCTGTTGTAAAAATGACTTCATTAGGGTCTTTTTAACAACTTACAAAAGTTACTAGTTTACTTTTAAAGCAATAGTCAGCATTACATTTTCATGAGTGAACAAACTCATCCGATCCTCAGAATTCCAAGGAGAGGATAAGGAGGAGTTTCTGTACTTCATTCTCTTCTCCTTTGTTCTAGTTTCTCCCGTTTAATCATTGACAACACATCTAATGTGGGCCGCAAGTGATTCTGCTATTGTAGCCTGAATGTAAAAAATAAGTTTGTGAAATTAAGTAAGTGCCATTGTAAAACACATTTTAAAAGAAGTATAGTATATAGTAGGGCATGAAACCTGTTGATGTCAACCAGCAGTAGATGTGAATTGTCTCTGTGTTAGACAGTGGGTTGTAAAACCAGAATCTCTTATTGGATTAGTATGTTTTTGCTGGCTTTGTGACAGTTTGAATGACTGAAACCTATGGCCCATTTTGACACTATGGAAGTCCATAGAAGAGCAACAGGTGGTATTACCACAAACCAAAGTAGAAATCTAAAAAAAAAAAAATCTCATGCGCGACACGTGAGCTGCCGTTCTACTGGCTCACGGCCTGACGCTGCAAAACCCCACTGTATGGCGTCAATATTGACTTGAGCCATTGTCGCAGGTCATTGTCACACACTTATTATACAATTAACCTTACTTTATGTGGAGGCTGAATATGGAGTGTGCCGGAGCTATTGTGCGTGAGTCATTCTCATGTATGGGATCAGTCTCATTATAAGCAAGAGCAGGAGAATAAAGAGAGGAAACACATTGATGTCTCCTGGTGTTGTGTCGACAATCAAATCAAAATTTAAGTGGGGGCCTAGCAAGAGAGCCGGAGAGTCCAGAGAAAGCCTGAAAGAAGCCAAACATCATACATGCGAGAGACGCAGAGATCCAGAATGACAGATTGGATGGTCTGAGATAAAAGAGAGAGGAAAAAATGAAGTAGGGAGGGGGGGGGGGAGAGAGTTCGAGAGAAAAGAAAGAGCGATGGACAGAGGGAGGGGAATAGGACGGTGGTGGAAGAAAAGCAAGAGAGACAGCAAGGGGGGAAAAAGGGGGTCGAGAATAAAGAGGAAAGTAAGAAGGAGAGAGAGCAGAGGAGCTGGGGGGTTGGTTAGTCGCTGGAGAAAGTTCTTAAGCTTTTTCAATGACAAGCAGATTGAAAGCCCCTCTATTCAGCCGCTCTCCGGCTTCTGTTCTCATGTAAATGGAGTCTGCGGCCTTCCCTCCATCCATCACACTGCCCGGTAGTCCAGCCAGGCCTTTACGAGCCTCCCACTTGCAAAATCACCATGCCCCACAAACACTATGGCCACGGAAGGGGGGTTGGGGAGGCAGAGAGGCCACCTACACTGTGCGAGAAACCTCAACACGGCCGTTGGGGATGGTAAGGTGCCACCGAATAGCGACGGGGACGAAGGCGATGATGAAGATAGAGCGGAAAAGAGATTCATTTAAAAGTTCATTGCGGATTCGAAAAGCAGTACAATTACTAATGACTGCCAAACTTCTTGAACAGAACATCTCACAGATGCCTTCATGCATATTTATTTTCTACATTTCTGTTTTAAAGCAACATACGACACATTTTTGACACTGACCAAATGCTTTCATCAATTTAACAGTGAGAACCTGTCTCTTTTTAACTGATCCTTATACTTTAAAAGTACATGATTTAAAAATTTCTCCATTTTTGGATGCTGCAATCATATTTGTTTGTTGTTGCTTACTAAAGTTTCTCTGCTGTGTGGAGCCTCCCTCCAGTGTTGAACACCGGCATTACAGTATCTCACAAGTGACTTATGTACACCTAAAACATAGGTAAAATATACAGTACTGTGTAGAAGTCTCAAAGAAATGGAAATTTGAAAATTTGCCTCAAAGAAATGGTTTTAAGCCAGTTATTTATATATTTTGTTGTAGTGTCTCAGGAAATATCAGTTTACATTTCCAGACATTAATTGTGCCATTAATTGTAATAATCCAGTGAAATTTTTGAATGCACAAGGATTCTGACAACAGCCAATGCTCCACACGGTGGTCGGATCTCACCATTATCGAGTGCATCTGAAAGAAGAAACAGAAAAAACAGACTAAGACCAGAAGAACTGTGGCACTATTTTTCTTTTAAATAATCCAATAATGTTGAAATTTGTTTTTCTCCATCAATTTTTTTTACACCACCTTCAGTCAAAATTCATCCGAGTAAGGACTTCCAAATATATAAATCCAGGAAGCCCACAATACTCGGACATCTTGTAACATATACTGTTCTTGTAACATATACTGTTCACTACAACAAAATTTATAAATAACTGGCTTAAAACCATTTCTTTGAGGCAAAAATACTAGTCTTCTGACTTCTGCACAGTACTGTATGAGCAATTTTTGGGAATATTGTTGACATGCAATAGAAGATAAAAAATAACTGGCACTCCGATTCATGGCTGTAAATCCATGTAGTTTTCTAAAAAAACAACAACAAAACATCTTTAACATGAACTTCTATTAATGTTCTTTGAATTGGATAGAATACCTGATAACGAAAAAAAGAGTGGCTTAAAACAAAACTGTAAATAATGTTTAATTTGTACAGATTCCAATGTATAAACATTACACTTTGCTATCCCTATATGTGAAATGAGTGATTTTAACAACTGGAACCTGCAAAAACAGCAAAGAACATAACCAAACTTGCAAACTGTTTAATAACAAGGAGAAAAAGGAGAGTTTGTCAAGTTATGCTGTAGCTTTATTGAAACTTCCCCCCTCCTCTAAAGAACAAAATACACTTACAAAATAACTTAAATGTAGATTTTTCTTTTAAATAATCCAATAATGTTGAAATTTGTTTTTCTCCATCAATTTTTTTTACACCACCTTCAGTCAAAATTCATCCGAGTAAGGACTTCCAAATATATAAATCCAGGAAGCCCACAATACTCGGACATCTTGTAACATATACTGTTCAAGGGTGATTACATAGCTCTGGCACAGTTTTACAGCAAACAGTACAGCAAGCAAGTGCAGTAACTACTCGGATCTTACAGTCCCAGTAGATGAATCCGAAAGAAATGTATCAAATCTTACTGATGCTTTTCATGGTAGTTTAAAAGGAAGCACACTTTTACCACATGGCCCATTACTACATCAGTAACATGGGCTTTAAAAAAAAAAACATCAATGCACGTCAATGATGATTCCCAGCTTAAAAAAAGAAAAGAAAAAAAAGAAGATATCAGGATGACTATTTGAAAGCAGAGTGACAGAACATGCTGCTCTTCTCCGTAAGAGAAGATAGCTGAGCCCATATTTTTCAATGTTTATCATGGGAGTTGATGGAGATAAATAGATGTATATTCAGTATCTGAGATTTATAAAATTTGGGCAAAATAAAATGACTAATTTGTAAATGTGGAAGAGCAGGGAGTTGCACGTCCCCTACTCCATTTAGAAGTGCTTAAACTTGAAAAAGCGAGAGTGATTGTGGGGATAGAGAGAGGGGGGATGTATCTAGATCAGGTGAAATAATTCTCTAGATCAAGTCAGCCACATTCATGGGCATCTCTTCTACGGTAGTGTTATAGAAGGTCTCGATGTCCCGCAGAGTACGCTTGTCATCCTCTGTCACCATGTTAATAGCCACACCTTTCCTGCCAAAACGACCGCCTCTACCAATCCTGAGAGTGGACACACACAAAAAAACAAGATGGTTATAATAATCAAATGGCAGTGGAAACAATCCATCAGCATAAGTCAAGAACAAAACACAAACCTATGAATGTAATTCTCACGGTTGGTTGGCAAGTCATAGTTGATCACCAAAGACACTTGCTGGACATCAATACCCCTGGCCTATGAATGAGAAACATGCAAGAAAATTAAAGTTAACTCGAGCATACAAACGTGTATTGCTTTTTATTTACATTTTTCTACAATTATATGCGTGTGTGGTTTTATAAAGCTATGGGGAAGGACAGAATCACCCATCCATAGCAGAACACACTATTTTTATACCAGATACTATTATTACTCCAAAGCACTAGAGGGTGCAATGGGGTCAGGGAAATCTGGTGACCTCATCTGCTAACTGAGCTATTTTTTAATAGAAACCATTCCATTGAGGGAACAAATGATGCAAGATCAATGCATTAATGTGTTTGCTAACCAGCAGATCGGTGGTAATAAGGACACGGCTAGAACCAGAGCGAAACTCCCTCATAATCAGGTCTCGGTCCTTCTGCTCCATGTCTCCATGCTGACAAAGATAACACACAATGCCTTTACAACAAACCAAACATTTACATTTAGTTTATTCATGCATTCATTACACTTGCACAGAAAGAACATTCTTTATATGAGAAAGTATCAGACCATCTGTGTACAGAATGAGTGCTAAAATGTTTAAAAATAATTATAATACTACTACTACTAGTATTAAACGGAGCATAAAGCTTTATTTCTAACCTTAATCCTACTTTAAATTACAGGTCAACAATGACACTACTTTAGCAATTGTATATGAGCATCTTGTACATAGATATTCTGTCCCTTTCAGGTCCACAAGATAGACTTGAGTTGGTCTGATGTAAATATAATATAGTTCAATATATAAGATCCACCCCTCATGGAAGAAAAGACAATGGGCTATATGCACGCATAAGTTCCGCATTTGACGCAAGGATGCCCGTCCATTTCCGGTTGTGGAGATTAAAGCGGAGGAAAATCGAGGAAAACGGGATTATGGCAGAGTCTTCAAAATTTACTGTCCTCCCGTCTTTGAAACGAAACGTACATACGTTTAGATGTAATTTTATATATAGTTATGTTTATTTAATATAATTTTAAAAAGAAGCATAAACACAACGAGGGGTGTCTGTTTTATCCGTTTTTGTGACTAACGTTTCTTTAGTATAACCATAAAGTATGAAATTCAATATAAATTCTCGGTATTGCATTGGACTCGGTATTGCATACGATCAGCGGAAGTTATCGAGCATCCTTACATCTTCACCGGAAATACCGCCGTGCATAGAGCCCATTGTTGAAAGTCTGACATGTAAAAATACTAGATGCTCATGCTCTGCTATAATTGTCTGTCTACAAACAGAGCTACACGCTTAGATCTAGGTAGTCGCGGATCTGTTAAGGCACATCAAGAACAATATCTATAACAACTGTATTAGCATCCACAATTTGTAAAACCGTTCTGTTAGCTAATTGCACAATACAGTTATGTTCTGTGAATAATTGCAGCTCACACTCTAAAGTAAGAATACTTTTAATTGGCTAACTTTTTTATAATATTAAAAGTGGATTATAAAAATGCTCTGAAAGGGATCCAACAATATTGTTCCTCTTTATAGTTGCAGTGTGGCACTTTCCGTATTTACCAGAGCGGAGACAGTAAAGTCCCTGGCATGCATCTTCTCCGTAAGCCAGTCTACTTTTCGGCGTGTGTTAATGAAGATCACCGCCTGAGTGATGGTCAGAGTCTCGTAGAGATCACACAGGGTGTCCAGCTTCCATTCCTGACAAAAACACATACACAAAGCATGGTGAGAAACAGAATGACCTACTAACAGCCACTGGTCAAAATCAGTGCATATAAGCACAGAAAGCATCCTTTTATAAATTCTGTTGTGTTCATGTGCAATTCATGAATTTCTGCTGTTGTTGCTTTGCATAAAAGCGACCTGAGATCTGTACCTCTTTTTCAACGTTGATGTAGAACTGACGAATACCCTCAAGGGTGAGCTCCTCTTTCTTCACCAGGATGCGCACTGGTTCTCGCATAAACTTGGTAGTGACATCCAGCACCTCCGCGGGCATGGTGGCTGACAGCAGCACCACCTAGAGGACACAAACATGTATGAGCTTTAAAGCTAGGTATCCTAAAAAGGTGTTGTTACCAGTCCTAATAGAATAGTGGTGGGAAACAGAGCTGACTGAACAAGCAGCAACACATTCCAGATATCAATGCTATTTGTGTTCTCAACATATCGCCGTAACTGCATTATGCTTTGCCAAAAGCATATTCTCATACACTAACGCAATAACACATGAAAATATTCAACCCGGTAACACATACAGGAAACATGGTCCGTTTCATATCCTAACCTGTGTGCTGGTATTGAGTTTCTGGAAAATCTCATAGATCTGGTCCTTGAATCCACGACTCAACATCTCATCTGCTTCATCCAGCACAAACATTTTAATGTACTTAGAAGCTAGAAGAGAAGTAAACACAAAACAGAGTGTAAATGGCATAGCAATAATATTATGCAATAAATACAAAATATTCAGCAATAGATCTCACAGTACTCAACACTCACAGAGGAACTTCCGATTGAGCATGTCGTAGACACGACCTGGGGTTCCTACTACAATATGCGGTGCCTCTGCCTGCAGCTTTTGGACCTCATTGCGCACATTGGTCCCGCCAATACAGGCGTGGCATTTTGCACCCATGTAGTCTCCAAGAGCCAGAATCACTTTCTGGATCTGTCAAGACAGACAAAACCAAGTGTGAAGTAACTTGGAGCAAAACATTAGCCTGTACTTGGGTAGATGAGTTGTGGACAGAAGCACATTTGCATGATCTGTCTCAACTGCTCAGTTTTCCCATAAACACAAATGAACTTGATGAAATGACTAGAAGTATGGGCACAATCTTCTATAGTACATTAGAAACAGTTGCACCCATCAGATTAAAAAGGTTAGAGAGAAAATTAAAGCACCATGGTACACTCAAGCCCTCAAGAGAGAAACTCGTAACCTAGAGCACGGATGGAAAAACAGTATGTCCCGCTATAAAAAGGATCTAATAGCAAATAGTATCTCCGCAAACACATAAAATAATCAAAAAGATCCAAGGATTTTATTTAGTATAGTGGCTAGATTAACATCATTTTTCATCATTTCAGCAATGACTTCATGATTTTCTTCACAGAGAAAAATCACAAACATCCGAAATATAATGTTCTGTAAATGTACAACCTTTGACAGCGTTTGATAATTCAGTCTCAATTATTCTCCCTCAAGAACAATTGCAGTGCTTTACATCTACAGGACAGGAAGAGCTAAATAAACTTATTGCATCTAAACCAACAACATGTTTGTTAAAACCAATAGAATACCCACTGAACTACTGAAATATTTGTTCTCAGTTGTAACTCATCTCTAGGTCATGTCCCAAGACCCTTCAATCTGACAGATATTAAGCCTCTAATTAAGAAACCACAACTAGATCCAAATGAATCACAAATTACAGACCTTTTTAAAATTTTCCATTTATGTCCAAAATACTAGAAAAATTGCACTCAATTGTGCTCCCTCCAGCAAAAACAAAAAAGCATTCAGGCCCCATCATAGCACAGAAACTACGCTTGTTCAAATTACAAATTACAAAGCTTCTGACCAAGGCTGCATCTCAATGCTGCATTTGACAGTATAGTATAGATAATAAAATATTCTTAGATTGACTACAAAATTACTCCAGTATTCAGGGACAGGCATTAGGGATTATTATATCTTACGCATTTGACCATTACCATTTTGTTTATTTAAACAGGGAATTATCCCATCAATATTATAAGTTGATGCCAGCAAATTATGGAGTGCTGCATGGATCTGTGTTAGGCCCTCTGCTATTTTCAATATACATGTTGTCACTTGGTAATATTATTAAAACACATGAAATTAGCATCCACTGTTATGCTGATGATACTCTGTTATACATTTCATCACAACCAGATGAACTCTCTAAATTATCCAAGCTGACTGTTATCCCTTTTCCACCAAAGCATTTTGAGAGCCGGTTCGGAGCCGGTGCCTGCACGAACCAGTTCTTTGTGTTTTGACAGCCAAAGAACCAGTTCTCGGCCTGAAAAACTGGTTCCAAAGCGGCACCAACTCTTTGCTGGACTAGAACCGTTGTTTTACCCCGTCATGTTTACATCGGGGGCTGGGGCGGGTTTAGATGTGTTCTAAACATCTTTTCCGACCATCGCAAAGCCAGGAGAAACATTTGCAGAAACACGATGGAGTCCGCCTTTATAATTGTTATGCTTGAAATTGGCGCAAACGTTTCTATTTTTTTTTTTTATTGAAAACATTATGGGCAAACAAGAAAACATTCACAATATAGAACAAATAAATGGAAAAAAAAAGACAAGACAGGGGTACATAACTAATCAGAAAAGATTACATATCAAAAGAAAAGATTAAAAGACATTTCAATTGTTTTTAAAGCCTTCTTGGTATACGAGTTAGAGATAATCCCAACGTAATGTTGTACTTGCGAGCGTTTCTAGCTAAGACGTATGGCGTCTAGTCAGTGGAAAAACAAATAGGTTCTGAAAGGGTTCACAAGTTGAACCAATTCCGAACCAACAGCAGTTCCAAACCAGTTCTTTTTTGGTAGAAAAAGGGGTATCAGTGTGTTAAAAATATAAAATATTGTACGACGAGAAACGTCGCTAGGGTGCTAACATGTTATCGGTTTCTGGTGTAGAAAAGCTAGTTCATGTATTCATGACTTCTAGACTGGATTACTGTTAGACATTACTAATTGGTCCTGAACCCTTAAATAACCAACAGTTAGTCCAAAATGCAGCTGCTAGAGTTCTAACCAGGTCAAGAAAATATTACCATATAACCCCAATTTTATCATCTCTACACTAGTTGTCTATTAAGTTTTGAATCGAAGTATTGCTACTGACCTACTAAGGCTATAAGGTTTAGCTCCCGTGTATTTAACCAATCTTCTATCGTCCTACAATCCATCACACTCTTTAAGGTAAAAAAAAAAATTCAAAGACTTTTGGTATTACCTTGGATATCGATGTCCACTAAAGGAGGGAAAGAATTTTCACATTTGGCTCCTAAACTCTGGAACAGCCCTCTTGATAATGTTTGAGGCTCACACACTCCCAGTTTAAATATAGATTAAAGATGCATCTCTTTGGCCAAACATTCACATAATGCTCCAGTTATATCAGATGAAATGTACATGATTATCTTTTGCTTGAATTGTTATGAACAACAGCTATGCTAATTATTTTCCATTTACTTTTCTGTCTCAGAAATGCCCATCCTGAGGTAACTAGAGAGTACGTCAGCTCCAGTTTGGATCCAGCCTCTTATGAAGACTTCAGATGCTGTGAAGAGATGACGCCAACTCCTGCAAGGACTTCAGATGACGCCATTCTGAATCAGTAAGCTCCAACTGGCAAATGTTCTATATATTGTAATCATTATGATCACAACTTGTAATAACTGTTTTATGAATGCATGATATTAGCTTTAACTGCACTCTAAATTTTAACATAGAAACATGCTTTCTGTAAAGCTTCTTTGCGATGATATGTATTGTGAAACGCGCTAACTTCCCATAAAAAGAAACAAATGTAACACGATTATGAACTTTTCCTAAAAATGCAATGCAACACGTTGCTTTTAAAATTAACATTCCCAACATTACCAAAATGATCATCTTTCTAGACAATTAACATGGATTCAATTTAAGTTCATATGCAAGTGACTAGTGAAAAAAACAACAACAACACAACACTCTTTAAAAATAATGCCCATTTCTGAAAAAAAAAAAAGTTCAACTGCACCGTTTACATTATGGTTCTGCAGCAAGGGAAGCAAAAGCAGTGAACACAGAGACAGCGCTAACCTGCTGAGCCAGTTCACGGGTGGGTGCCAGGACCAAGGCCTGAGATCCTTTCAGCTCTACATCAATCTGCTGCAGGATGGAGATGGCAAAGGTGGCAGTCTTGCCTGTTCCTGACTGGGCCTGCGCAATGACATCATATCCTAGTGTGGAAACAAAACAACAACAGGTCAAAAAGTGGCCAAATTATGAGCTGTAATTGATAGTGCAGGATGTCCTTCAAGCATGCAATGAAGGGTGATGGCAGTCTAACAGTTACGCTACTGCATTACTACTATCAAAGATGCACGTCTAGATAAGAAAACAAGCTTTAAATGAACACTGCTGATGATTTTACATATTATGTGCCTGGAAAAATAACAGAAGGTGAAAATAGAGTCTCCAATGATATGGACTCCATCAATTGTATTACATCTTTAGAATATTCTTTAAGATACATTACCCTTGATGCAAGGGAGGATAGCCCTTTGCTGGATGGCAGAGGGCTTCTCAAAACCATAAGCATAGATTCCCCTGAGCAGAGTCTCACGCAGGTTCATGTCATCAAAGCTGTCCACGATCTCATGCCAGTTACTCTGCAGATACGGGGGAAAGTAATTAGATGAATATTAAGATACAAAAGACCACAGGCGAGCTAATTTTTACTCCATCTCACTGTGAAAAAAAAAAAAATGCTATTTGTCACTCATTGCTGATGCATAAAGGATAACAGGTTGGCAGTTGCTCAAAAAAAAAAAAAAAAGGAGAAAAGGAATCGCTGACCCCCACAGTGACAACAAGACAGTCAAAACAACTGACAGCACATTCAGTGCCAACCTGCTTCCTAAAGCTGGTCAAAGAGAGACATGCAGGGATATGTGTAAAAAAATTATTATGAACTCACTTCAATGATTCCATCTGGCTCCATGCCCTCAGGGCCATTGTCTCTAGGTCTGCAAAGAAATGTCACAACATTAGCACCATTCAGTTATTCATGAAGGACAGATAGATGCTTTTTTTGATCTCTCAATGCATGTATATGCATATATATACACACACACATAATATATGATTAACTTATATGTCAAACTTTTAAGAACACAAGAAAATTCAACCACATTTTAAAGCAGTAATATGGCGAATCACCACTACTTTGAATTTCCATGTACAGTTTAGAAAATTTATATTATATAATAAATAGAATAATACATAAATTTTAGCCAGAGAAAATCAGTTTGATCTATGTGCAAATGAATGAATGGAGGAAAAACATGCTTCACTTCAGGGCCATAATAGGAGGAGGGTTAACGTTATGTGTCGAGCAGTCAGTGCGAGCTAAATCAAGTAGACTAACGTTAATTGAGGAATCGAGATGATCATTGACTGCATTGAATTAATATAACAACAACAATTCATTTGCGATCTAAACCTTAATCTCGAGCTGCTGAACAGTAAAGATCGTTCAACGTCAACGTCAATATTCTCAAGCAGGCCTGGCTGCTAAGAGCTCATATGCTAACGGCAGTGGGTTTTTACAACTCGTTTGCGACATTCAACATCACGAACCACAAGCTACTTCCAACAACATCTAGGAGCGGAATGCCTACAGCGACTGACAACACGTACGCATAAGAGCTCCAATTTATAAACAAATATATTAAGATCGTTTAAATTCCTGCTGTCCTACCTCCCTTCATATTCTGCCGACATTATCACAAAGGGCGAGCACACCGTGAAAATGTTTTATATAGTTTAACACGGTTTTGTTACTAAAATTGTGATTGCAGCATTCGACCATCAGTCAGAATACGGTCCGCCCTTCGCATATTCTCATTGGCTAACACAGACGCCACTCAACAATGGTAGCCGCCCTTTCGTGTCGTATATGGTTCGGTTGGGCGGTCCATGACACGTCAGTTCTGCTCTATCTTAAATGTAATTGGACTAAAGCTAAACCTCAAAATATCATTCGCTTGGCCTACTGTGACGCAGTTTTAGCCTCAATGTATTTAACTGTTAGCAATATAAAATATCATATAAAACGAAGGTCTTGAATTTATTAACGTCTTTATGATCCAAATTTCATAATAAGAAAAGGTTCGTACACTTAATTCCCATAATCCAGATTTTGAGTTCAATCTTTCCGACCTTTAAATAACAACAATAACTAGGCTAAATCATTTTTTGCATATTTTGAGAAAGAAATATTTAATGAAATCATTTTCCTCTTTTTTTTGTTTTAGTATTCCTTGCTACCTTTTTTTTTAAATTGTTTTGTGTAGTGAATGCATCTTAAGAGTAAAAAGCTGCCTATTTTGGTTTAAAATCTGCCTATTCTGTCTAATTTAGTTATGTTTAGCAGCCTGTCCCATAAACTAACAGTAGACCTATTTATATAATTAATTGCTGTATTTATAAGCACATTCCATAAAAACCTTCAAATAACATGACTAACACACACATTGATAACACTCAGTTATTTTTTTTTTATGTTTATTAGTACAGCTTACAACAACTTATGCATCTCAAAAGATATAAAACAGTTTAATTTACAGCTGCTCTTTTTTTCATCTCCATAAGTTTGCATCTCAAATCGCACAGATACATGACAGACAAACAATATTGAACAAACAAAAATCCTCATATAGTGTCGTGGTCCATATCGACTCTCAGTATATGAATATTGCATAACATTTTTAAAATGTCTGCAAGTGTCCTCCCTCACCAGTCAATGGTATTACCTTTTAGCATACAAGTTACTGACATCAAGAACATGAAAAATAAAAATGCCAACAAAATGGCGGCACCTAATGAACAGTTCTCTGAGGTCGACTCCTCCTCCCATTTCTAAAAAACCAACTCCTCTTGCGTTTTGATCCAAAGAAATGAACAACTGGGCCAACCAGAGTACAGCCCTCACCAAGTCAAAATACAAAGTCATTGAACAAAAAGAGGGGGTTAAAACGTTTGCACGTCTCCCGTCTAAATGCTGTCTGGACCTGGAGCTTATTTAATAGTGTAAGATGTCATGGTTCTCCCTTGCTCTTCTCACGGTCTCACAGAGACAGTTTACAGTGACACAGTTCTTTGTACATTTGTCTCCGTAGCTTGGGCATATCCTGCTGACCAAAGCTGAAAGGCTGTTCCAGGGCCAGGCACTTACAGTACTGGAGTACAACGATAAGAAGAGTGAAGTGAACAAGTGAGTAAAAGACACCAATGAAGATTATTATTTACTTTCAGCACCAGTGCTATGTACAAAGTGAAGTGTTAAAATTACTAATGAGAAAAAACGCTAACCTGAAGAACAAAAGCTCCACAATCACTGTCGTTGTTCTGCCTTGCCACATTCTAGAACATTCAAAAGACAGAAGAGTCAACAAAACACAAATGAAATGGCCTTTCCAATCTCTTTTATTCCTTATTTCTCTCATACTTTTACTAACACACACACACACACCCTACCATTTTGAAATAGCCTTTCCACCCCGTGTAAAACTCCTTCTGTTCTCTCTTGATTGCTTCTGCTTGCAGGTATTTGGCAATGTGCTGTAAAAACAAAAACTTTTAGTGGACACGATAAGCATTGGTATAATAAATGTAGCCATGTAAATAGCATCATTAGAACAAATAATGCCTACTTTGGGGCATCGACGGTTGAGGGTCCTCTGGGAATCAAAGTATGCGATTTTACGCTGAGGAACATTGACACACACTAAGGACCAGTGCACTTCCAGGTGAATAGGGATCAATAAGAACTTCTTCTGGAAAATATCAACCTAAGGAGCAGATTTAACAGTGAAATAAAAACGTAGTACTACAATAATTATGTTGTATCCACCATATTTTTCAATGTGGAAGTAAGCTATTTCCTACGAATGAGCGAGACTTCCAATTCATTAGCTGCTATACGTAGAAGAGTAACAGTGCAGTAAATGATAAAACTATTTGCACTACAAACTAGTGTTTATGAGTAAATTGAAATAATATGATAAGTAACAGTTTGCAACATTAAGCAGCATAACAGACTGTTTTGGTAAAGCTAAAATAATTGGAAGCCGAGTGCATTCATGTTAAAAATTGCCCAGTCTGCTTTTATGTTAAAAATAGGTGGATAACTATATTAACTTCATGATGGTGAATTATCTATTACCAATTTATCTGCTCAACTTTACAGTCCTAAAATGACAGGTATTAATTAAGGGCTGTGAAAGACAGACACAAAATGTTTCTCCATCCAGTACTGACATTTTTTGTCCACCGTTTGACCCCTTCGTAACCTTTCGTCCGAAGTTTGTCATAAAAGAAGCTGTTGAAAAAGTGGACCTGCAAGTAAAACAATAGAGAGAACGCGAATGAGGAAAAACCTAATTCACATATTGTTTTCATAATCATTTAACTCTTTGACAGTTCATATAATGGTTTTGTCATGAGTCAAATTCCGTGTAAAGGAGAGTGTGTGTGTTTGTGTGTGTGTTTAGCCTACCTTTTCAGGGGCAGCGTCCATGACCAAATCCCCATACATATTCATGACCTGGGTGACGGAGTGAGTTACAGACGTAAGAGAGCGCTAACTCAGCACAATCCCAGTACAAGGGCCCCCCATTCATCAAATATCTATACAAACTCTGGCAAAACTCAAGCAAAGGACGGTGCCATAGTATTTACATGTTAAATTTAATAAACCACAAAAAACATATTGTTCTTAAATGTGGCAAAAAAGGTTCCTCACAAAATTTCCAGTGGATTCAAAACAGGCACACACACACAGTTTTGATGTGCTGAATGTTTGTGTGTGCTTATACAGGGTGCATTATTATGTGATAAAGTAAGACTTAATGTAGGGAATTGCAATTATTCATTTACTAATAAATATGTATGTTTTAAAAGAAAACCAATCCTAATGCAACAAGGCTTTATTTGTGTAAATGTAACTTGGATTGTTTTTCTATATTTAGGATACAATTCTGAACCAACTCAAGTACACATTTTTTGATAAATCACATATTCATGCACGCCCACCTGATCGTTGAGCCAGTTCTGGCCATAGAGTGTGCTCAGATCATCCATGGTGAGGACATGGCGTTTGTAATTTACACGAAACCCCCGCATCACTGCACTTCCAGACATGCGCTGGTACGACTGCATTATATGTTGCACCATTACCTTCCTGTAAACAGACACAAATTAAAATAAACAAAAAGCTGAGACTTTATTCAAGTCTAAATATCAAGATTCAATAAGTCTTGTGACCGGTATGAGCCACCTCTGACCTGTGAGGACTTGAGAAGCTCTCGTTGAAGATCTCCTGAAGCTTCTTCACCACCTCATCTACGTGGATGGGAATCAAACTGCCAAACTGCTGGAGAAACTCATCCAGAATACCTGAAGAAGAGGAGGAGTGAGAGAGTAACAACCATGGGACGATAATATAATATTAAATAAAACATGGTGTATGCTCCTTTTCCATATTTGGGAAAAGGATATTGTACCTTGTATACAAGAAATGTGTCCACTGCTAAGCAGATTCTGTGGGGAGGACTTTTCCCGCTGAGACTGGACATTAGCAGGGGAGGCCCGTCCCTCCCTGTCCCCCATGGTTGCTCCATGGATACCATCCCTTCCTCTCAGAACTCCATTTGTGCTACAGGAGTCTAAGAAATCAAATGGTAAAGAAGAAAAGACGATGTACAGAAGAAAGCTAAAGGAACATGTACTAGTCAGTGCAAACAGCAATCCTGCTTGTGACCTCAGTATTACAATAATATGCAATTTCATCCTTTTATTGTGCCTCATTGTACATCACAGAGACCCTAGAGAAAAAATAAATACACTAAAATGTATTTTAAATACATTTATTTTATACTAAGTAGTATACTACAAATACATGTACTTAATATAATTACCCTGTCAATTGTACTTGTTTTAGTATACTAAATTTATATATTTAAAGTCTGCTAAATTGGACAAGTAATTTTGTACTTAATGCACTTTAGTTATGTGGAAATAGTGCTAAAGTGGAACTACTGCAAGTATACTTTAGGTACACTTTAAATATCTTGCATTTAAAGACTGATATTATACAGAGATAATACTATCCTTGCTAATAGTGATATTAAAACACATTTTAGGCTTAATATTAAGAAATATACATTGTGCAATAAATAAGTACTCCAAGTAAAGTTTAATTGTAATATTTATGTCAGTAAGTCTAGGGATAGGCTTATGCTAATAAATATGTTAATTGTTTTGTAGTATAAAATGTATTTTAAATGGACAACTGGACAATGTTTGAAACTGTTTTTGCTAGCAACTCGCCTTATAACCTCCTTTAGATGAATTGCTTGTATTTCTCATTTGCAAGTCGCTTTATAAAAGGCTCTGCTAAATGAATAAATGGAAATATAATTTAATTATTTGAAATATGAATGCATCTTTACCAGCACAAGTAACAATCTTTTAAATGATATTTAACATCAACACTGCGTCTACATCGGACACGGATGTTGTTGTTTAAATGGTTTAAATGGTGTTGGACGAGGCTAGTTAACTACTTCATGCACATTAGCCACCAAACACAATATATTAACATTATACACACTTTAAAGTGAAGAACATTTTAAAAATTAGTCAGGTATCATATGCAAAACTATTAATTATATAAATTCTTTCCAAAAAAAAAAAAAGCTAATTATAATGCAAATGTTAACAAGTTTATACTCACCAGATAAATCAGCTCCCCTCTCCACTGCTGTCCCAGAACTTCTTTCTGGGTCTCCATTTAACAATGAACTGCCAGGCAGTCTCTGGAAAGGTCGATTGGCAAAGAGCCGGCGTCTCTGTAATCTGCGTACTCTCCTGTATCCCATAGTTCCTGCCCATTTGGCTCGTTGGCGCCAAGCTCTCCATTGCTGGGCCAAACGGTTGTGAATGCTTACACACCTTTGACCCCGATACCGCAACCGGGATAGCTTTCTCTCTTTGAGTGGACTGGGTCTAGTCTGGACCAAGCAGTGGGTAAAGTCACCTGTAACGCTGACATCCATTTCCACTAGCTGTGGGTACTCTGATGAGCCCCACTTCCCATTGTCACCTTTATCATTACACTGGAAACCACCCTCAGCTTTCTTGTCCACCAGATCTTCTTCACTCTCCATCTCAACAGTGTCGTCCCCCTCCTCCTCCTCTTCCTCCTCGTCCTCTTCTTCCACCTCAGGGATGGTATATTCTGCACCCCATATCCTGGCGTCCTCCTCTCTGCGGCCCAGTTTGAAGTGGGCTGGGCTCGGGGCATGTTGGGCCATGGCCGGGTTTAGTAAATGGCCACCTCCAATGGCACCCCCACCACCAGCACCCTCCTGCCCTGCGGTCAGCGTCAGCTCATTGGACCAGTGTGTTTGAGCCAGGCTGCTGCCACTGTCTCTCATGATCCAGGAGCAACCTACGACCTGCGCCAGCCTGCCTCCTCTCTGCATGAAAAAGAAAGTAGAGAACCGTCAGAGGTGCATTTTAACCTTGTACTTTGTTTCGGCATAAACATCTGATACTAGCAACTAGCAAACAGTCCAGATGGACAAACTAAGAACAAAAGTGAAAAAATAGCAAGTTGATTAAAAAACGGATTTATATATGAAAAGGGTCTGGTCTCAATATTGACCTAGAGGCTTTTTTTGTCCATGTGAACCAGAAGTTGCTTCAGTGCTGTGATGCATTTCTAAATAATACACACGATTGAAAAAAATGGACAAGGGTTGATTTTAGGGCACCGACTTTTTTCTTTTGTGGATTAACTGGTACAGGTTATTTTCTTCAGTACAAAATTTGGCTGGACTGACACTTACGTCTTTTTTGAAAACAGAGAAAACACTATAGATGTTAGCACATTGTATTAATTTAAACATTTACGCAAAGTACTTTACCTTTAAATGGTATTTAAATTTAAAATAACACGTTTTATAGGCTGTATATGTACATGCAACTATCAGTGTCCATGTATTAAGAGCTGGAATTGCGGGGATAAACTCGCGCACGATGCGCTTTGTTCTGCTCATTTACTCTAAATGTTGTGGAAAATGTGAAGTGGAAAGGGCTTTGTAGTCTCGCCAATACACACTAGTCTGATCTTACTTTGACATATTTTATGTTGTGATTGTTCAATAACAAAGAGCTCTGCTCGCATTGGTCATTTAACGCAACTTCAAATCAAATCCAAGCACCGATCACAAATAAACACTGTTCGGCCTCCGCTGTCGCGATGCAGAAAATTTGGCCTCAATCGCATCACCGATTACTCACCGTTAACCGTAACCTTAAACCAAAAGCCAAAAGCTTAGGCGTTGTCCGCCAATGCAAACAGCGGATAATTAAACTTTCCAATAATAGGAATTAAATGGAAAACGAAGGCTACTTTAAATCTTGGCTCATTCAATGAGAGCTGGCGCTTCTTTAGAGCGAAAACACTCTTCTTCCGTCGCGTCTCTATGACGTCACGTCGAGGCTCACGATGGGCTGGTGGATAAATCCGAACATGTTTTTGTGACTAATAAAATAAAGTGCGGATACAGTAATGGTATTTTAAACCTATTAATTATTCAAACTATTAAATATTTCTCTCAGAAATCAGTCACAAACATTCCCATTCAAGCCTCTCAAATACCCACACACAGCAGGGGAGTTTATAGGATTTTCATTTTAGGGTGGCTAAGCTCCCAATGAGGGTGTGATTTAAAAAACAGGTAACACTTTAGTTTAGGGTCTAATGCTCAATTTTATTACCATGCAATGGCAGGGTTTTATAATCACCGTGGTCCAGAATTTGGGGGTAGTCAGGTGAGTTCGGGGTCTCCCCGATGAAATTTTGATTTCTTTGAACTATTATGTGCATTTTAAGATGTTTTGAAGGCATCGGTGGGCAGCTGATTATTTTTTTCTCCTCATCAGCATCACACTCTTTTTCTTTGTTTTTATCTTGCCCTGTCTCTTCTCCTCCTAAAGCTGAGCTTTGACTAATATAGGCTTTTCATTTTTGTATGTCAGTGAAGAAAGTAAACATAGGGTCAAATGATTGGTTGATTTTGCCTATGAATCATTTTCTTTTACTGAAATTTTCATTTCCTGAAAACTAGGAAAGCTAGGTAACTAGTTTATTAAATTCATTCACATTAAAGGTTACAGATTCATGTTTGATCTTATGCCAGTAGACAGGGCTTTATTATTAAGAGGTCCTAAATGTGAGGTTGGTGGGGGGTTCAATTTTTGTATTTATCTGATATGTGCATTTCAATACGTTTGAAGACCAAAAAATGATAAGAAAGAGCTTTTAAACCAGTAGACTATTTCTTAATACCTGATATATCCTCATCTCCATCATCCTTTCTTTTTTCCCCTGAAGCCCCCCTAAAAAGGGCCTAGTGATGCCCCTCACATAATGGAAATAAATATATATATTATCAGGGACCAACTCAGTGTGTATAAATGCAAATATTTACACATATTAAGAATTATTTGTGAGGAGGATTTAATATTAAACAAAAGGGTAATAGTATTATGTTCTTGACTGATACACCGAACCTCTGTTCTAAAACCTTAATCGTTTAAAATTAAAATTGTTTAATTTTTCCTCTCAAGTGACCATTTTCCTAGTGGAGAGATTTTTAAAATTCAATTGGCTTTATGCCCAGCTGCACTACTTCCTGAACTTCAGCCAGCTTCTTGTTTCCTGTCTGCCATTATTGGCCAAATTGATTAATTCAGGTGTGTCTGGTTATTGTTGCCATGACTACTGAGGTCAAGCACACCTGAATTAATCAATTTGGCCAATAATGGCAGACAGGAAACAAGGAGCTGGCTGAAGTTCAGGAAGTAGTGCAGCTGGGCATTAAGCCCATTAAGGTTGTTAGATTCAAACCGTCTGGAGGCCTATGAGGTTTCTGGGTGAATCCTACAATTATGTAGGTACAATTATGGGGTTAACTTTAAATTATTATTAAAATCTAAAAACTTAAAATCTAAAAACAATAAAACTGAAATTCTGCTATTTGGCCCAACATGACATCTCCATTCACATTGATGGAGTCCTGGTTAGGCTTTCACTAATTGTTTGGAATCTGGAAGTGCAGTTCTAAATTATGTTTTAAGCCACATATCAGAATACTTGTTAAATCTAGATTGTATCCGCATATGTAAAGATGCTGAACCTGTTATCAGGTAACCTGTTAATCGTTGTTAACGTTAGTTATAAATACAGCTGGTCATTGTTTGTTCATGTTAGTTCACAAAGCATTTACTAATGTTAACAAATATAACTTTTGATTGTAATAAAATATAAGTAAATGTTGAAATGAACATTAACTAATTAATAAATGCTGTAGAAGTATTATTGGTCTACATTGGCAAATAAGCCAATTGCATTGTTTCATCAGCTAAAAACAGAAACGGAAAAAGCCTTACCCATGCACTGTAGCTGTCAACTATGACCAGAATTGAAAATTCATAAGCAGATAAACTGTATATGAAGAGTTCAGATGCAAAAGCCTCTAAGTGCCATTTGAAATTTTCTTCTAAAATTTAAGTTCAGTAATTTCACTTAAATGGCAATGAAGATTACCTATTAATTGTCATTTAAGTGAAATTACTGAACTTAAATATACAAGTTTGATAAAAATGGTCATTTTAGAAGAAAATTTCAAATGGCATTTAGAGGCTTTTGCATCTGAACTCTTCATATGTCCTTTTAAAAAACCGATGTGATAATTACTGGAAAAAATGTGTGATAAGAATAAGGCAAATGTAAGGTTAGTGATGCATGCATGATGCGTTTCAAAGGTGTGGTCACGGAAACTTCGAGAGCAAAGAGATTTTGATAAGAAATGCTTTATTTAACATTTTTCACAAAAGCAAAAAATCAACACTAAAAAACCCGTTCTAGAGCCAGTCTGGATTAAGATGCTTTTATGGTGATTTTCCTGACTTTAGAACACATACAAAGAAGTATATTCAACTTTGATACTACATACGAGTATACCATCAAGATATCTCATCAAGAACCACAATCTTTCTCACACTCCCTATTAGCCAAACACACTGCATCGCTGTCCTGAGTCACCAGTCGCCTCAAAGAACATGAAGTCCTGTGGGACAACACAGAGAAACAATCAAATGAAATGTATGAATGGCGGTTAAAGAAAATAATGGGTATAAATTAGTGGATGAATGGATGTTTTATGTCATATCTCACTATAAGGAAACATGCTCCCAGCAGAACTGCTTTCATCCTCACGTCCAAGTCCATGGGGAAGTTAATCCCAAAATTGTCTGTATCAGTCAGTGACTCTTTGATCAGGCCAGTCCACTGTTTACTGATACGACCAACTGGATGCCCGTCCTTCCCGGTAACCTGCACCAGAGGACAGACAAACGCACATAACCTAGGTCAAACTATTCAAAGTAATCTTACGAAATCCAAAAAATAATCATCCACCAGATACTGTTCATTTCATTGTTTCACAAACAAACAGACACACATAGAAAGGTGATAAACTGACAAAATCACACACGAATACATACGTCGAAATCCACATCCCCACAGCAGCTTACGGCACACACAGGCCCCTCGATGGACAGCACCTTTGTTTTGGACATGTCATAGATAGAGAACATGGGCCTAAACACATGCCAGTCTTGCTTGACATAGCCAATTGTATTCCCTGGAGGAGACTGCACTTCCATCTTCAGTCAGTCATATCCAAACAGGAAAAAGAATTGGAAAAGGGGTTATATAAAAATAGTACATTTTGCAAAGACAACATTTTGTTGAACAATTCTGTTTTGTTTTTTTCCAGATCTCCAAAGGTCAGAACTTCAGTTGTTACCTCTTGAAGACAGCAGGGGAAACAGCAGGACGTGCAGCGGTAAGGCCTTATTAAGTGAATCACTTCCTGATCAAAATTATCTGTTATCTGCAGATCAAAGCTCCTCAGAGGACCACAGATATTCCGTGTGCAGCAGTCAGTGTTTTCTTTAGCGTTGAAGATCTTTTGACCCAGGCTGTTCTTAATCTCATACTGATTATTAGTCTCAAAGCCAATAATGGCTGGAAAAGAAGAGAATTAATTTTGTTCATTAGCATTTTGAATTTATGTGCATTTCGACAGTTATTTAGTCTCCAAAAATAAATATAGGATCTATATAAAACACATTCAAAAGTTTGAGGTCGGTAAGACTTATGTTTTTGAAAGAAGTCTTGTGCCCCATAGCTGCGTTAAGGTAAAAATGGTCAATCTTTAACTTTTGAATGGTATTGTAGAATATATTATAGAATAATTTCATAGAATAATAAATTAGTTACTTTACCTTCAAGGAGCTCAATCTTTTGATGGACTAATATCTGGTCAATCTGTAATAGCAGGACAGGGAGCATATGTTGTGTGTGTGTGTGTGTGTATACACACTGAACAAATTATAAACACAACACTTTTGTTTTTACCCCCATTTTTCATAAGCTGAAGATCTAAGTATTTTTTCTATGTACACAAAAGGCCTATTTCGCTCAAATATTGCTCACAAACCTGTTAGATCTTTGAGTTCAGCTCATGAAAAATGTGGGCAAAAACAATCATTTTGTTCAGTGTAACACACACACAAACACATATTCCAGTGTACATTTCCCCATCACAAAATACCTATTATTGTGTACATCTTCACATATTATCTTACTCGCTTGAATATTCGTGCTCACCTGTGAAAGGTACTCCAAACCAGGTGGTACAGCCGCTGGGCTAGAATAAGGCTGGGCCATGTTAAACTCAGTAAATGGCAAGAAGGGTTCTAATAAAAGGTAAAAAAATAATGATTCCATACACCTCACACACAAAACAAACCATTGTACTAAACTAAAGCGTAAAAGAACAGAAAATTTGCTTTATTTGCTTCTAATCTTATAGCTGAACAATATTCAGATGTTTAAGGCAAAATCAACACGCTCCTTGCCAAATAGCTTTTGGTAAAAGATACACCAAGCACGATGATCCGCTAGGAAAGCATTCAAGGCCATTTCTATTTAATTACTTCAAAACACATAACATGTTGCTTCAAAGTAAAATCCTGCTGACAATAACACATCTTTTTTTTGTTGCTTTTTCCTTTAAGGATTTTCCTCTACCCTGCAATCTTTGAACTTGAGAAAAATTTAATTTACACAAGTAAAATTACATAGCAAAACCAAATCCAAATCTCATATTGTTTGCTCTTACCTCAGGTTCAGTATACTCAGTATATAAGCAGTGTAGAATCACACACCTGCACTGGAGCATGTGACTGGGGAGAGTGTATTTGTATGTCTTGCCACACCCATTTGACTACACTCCCTTTGGACATTGCTCACTGAGAGAAAGCAGTGACAACAACATACAAAACAGTGCAAATTAACATCAACTTGACTGTAAAAGAACATTTATTTTCAGAATTTACTGCTGTATATGGTCAGAAAAATATAGCATTTCCTCATCTTTCAAACATATACACCTGTACATACATACATATACTATATACACTGGGATGAGCAGGACACAAACAACTTAACAATTTAATTCTTAAATTAAAAAACTGAACTATTCTACCATGATTTTTGACGAAAGTTGGAAATGGTGCCGAAATTCTTGAACTGCAACTTAATACACAACTAACAGAAAACAAGAAATTTGGTTTACAACGGTCAAAGGTTAATCTGAGAACTTCCTGCAACAGTTCAAGTGAGAATATTCGTCACAAGACTGAAATTTTTTTCCTAGAACGTCACTTGAAAATTACATTGATTTAAACAGTGTTTGAGTCAGTCGGATCTGTGTTGGAGGTATCCTTAATTTTACGCTCCTAATGGGCTTTATGCCCAGCTGCACTACTTCCTGAACTTCAGCCAGCACCTTGTTTCCTGTCTGCAATTATTGGCCAAATTGATTAACTCAGGTGTGCTTGACCTCAGTTGTCATGGCAACAATAATCAGACACACCTGAATCAATCAATTTGGCCAATAATGGCAGACAGGAAACAAGAAGCTGGCTGAAGTTCAGGAAGTAGTGCAGCTGGGCATAAAGCCCATTGCACCCATTCGATCTTTCGAGTGCACCTTGAACCAAATATGGTGTTTGTTTTATTTTGCAACAAATGTGTAGAGGGACCCTCAGTGGCAAGACTGAAAAACACCGGATTCATTAAGCACACCTCTTCACTGGAAGTAGCATTGCAGTTAAATGTCATGAAAAGTAATTGAAAACAAACAAAAAATAATAACTCTTAATGGTCCTTTATGCAAAAATAAATTTCTTTCTTGACTTGTAGCGAGATATTACCCAGACATGCTCTTGTGATAACAATCATCACTGAAATTGTTTTATATATTGGTTTCAAACTAACTAGATTACTTTGAAATACCAGAGGGCCAAAAGAGAAGTTGATTCATTAATCCACATACTATATGGTCATAGTGCACATTTTCCACCCATATTAATTTTAGTTTATTTGTGTACAATCAAAATACAGTAGTGCAAATAAGTGCAGGAGATTTAGGAAGCCTTCTTAAACCTGAAAGCCACTTAATATAAACCAAGACAAATCTGTCAACACAGAACAAAGGATAACAAATGCAGTTATATAAATCAAATCTTTTAATTTAACAGAAACTAATTAATAGTAATCAGAAAAGTAAAAAGGACCGGAATGAGAACATCTCGTCCATTTAAATACACACATCTGCACCAACACACTCTTTCTCATAGGTCTCTTTTGACCGTGGAACCCCGAGAGTCCCTGCATCTGTAGCAGTAGAAAATGTCAGGTACGTTGGACTTCTTAATCTTAGCGCAGGAGAGATGAACCCATATGGAGCACTCGTCACATTCAATCATGGGACGTCCCGCAAAAGGCTTCCCGCAATAACAAGTAATCAGATCCCATGAATCATCACCTACAGTGGATAGAACAATAATAATGGTTGAAAGATTGATAAATGATCAGATGCTGCAATAAAAAATATACAAAAGCAAACATGTTTTCTTCAAGGAAGAAGATCCTTGATAAGCACGCAAATGAGTTTAAAAGGCAACATATCTATAACATGTGTTATTATAGCTGAATATATATATATTGACACTTACCAGACTCCACCATAATATCCTCATCAGTCACGAGTGTGTCTGTTTCGCAAGAGCTCAGGTCTGTTTCTTGATTGGACTCCAGTTTAAGCCCTGCCTCATGCAAGTGAATGGCCTGTTCTGTTAGTCCCTCCTCTTTTTGAAGCCCCTCATTCAGAGGGCTTGTGGGTGTAAAGTGACTCTCAGTCTTTACCGATCTCTTCATTTTCTTCAGAGCTGCTTTCGACTGTTTGTGCGCTCTTGCCTCCGAGATGCTTTTTCTCGGCCCTCCTAAAGATAAGCGTCCGAGTTTTTTCACCTTCTTCCTCTCAGCTTTACTATGAAGATGGATCTGGTTCAGGGAGTCTTTCAGTCTCATCTGGTTTAAGGAGCTGTCCGACTGAAGATGGCTGAACTCTGTGCTGCTGCTGTCAGTTTCAGCTTTGTAGACCAAGTTGTGAATGCTGTTGAGGTTGGAGTGAGCATCGGTCCAGCTATCCTTTACGGACCCTTCACCGGATAGCTCAGAAAGCTCGTGTGTACATGGAGATGAAGACGGAGACCATGAACTCTCCTGGAAACGCACATCAGCAGAATTTAACAAAAATGTAGTACCCTCATAATCTGCATAGGATTTTGTATTGCATAGTGGAATATAAGCTTATAAACAGACATAACTTAATATTTTTCAAATTACCCTGAGTGAAAAAAATTCAAAGTTTTCAATGCTGACATGATATTACTATATTGTCCTGTTTTAATTATTTCCTCATCAATGAAAACGGCCATAAATGACATTGACAATGTTTCTGCACCACTGGTGGAAATGTTCTGTGATTTAAGTGTTATACGTTAGGTTAAAATTAGATGTTTTTTTTCACATGACATTCATCAACTCACACATCAGTTGTGGTAAACGGAAGCTTTAGCATGTTCGTGTGATGAGTGGGAACCAATGAGGTTTGTTCTTGCACTTCAAGCAGGTTCAGTTGAGCTTCTGTTTATGTTCTCTGATCAATGTTTATATGTGAATAAAAGCCTTAATTAAATCTGTTCATCATATAAAGCGACAGAGTATCTTCAGAAATTTTGGATTAAACCCTTTAATTCATATGGATTAGTTTTACGATCTTTTTATGAACTTTTTAAAGCGTCAAAGTGGTAGTTGCGTAGCTGTCAACAAAAAAAGATTTTATCAAAAATATCTTACTTTGTGTTCCCAAGATAAATGAAAGTGTTATGGGTTTGAACCAACATGAGAGTGAGTAATTAATGACAGAATTTTCCCTTTACGTATTTTAAGAAACAATTGTGTCAACAGCAGGTGATTACCACGAAGACGGTCGGGGTTACCCCTTGATTTCTGTACAAAATTACTTGTTTTATGACATTCAACTCACTTCTGTTTGAGGTGGAATGTACCCAGCATAGGCCAGGACAAAGCTGCAAAACTTATTGAAATCCTCAACGGTCCTCTTCCTGCGCTCTGGAGGCTGGAACAAAGACAAAATACATTAATAGTGACCAATAGCAATGATTAACAGTACATTTAGACTGAACTAATATATATACACGTATAAATAAAAATGTTATGACACCAGTCTGACACCAATCTCAAATAATTTTTAAAAACCAATATATGTTTGCAAATTAGGTTTAGTTATTAAAAACAGATACAGATCTTATCCACAGCCCATCCCCCCATGTTCGGCCACATGTGGCCTTAGCTATAAATAAGTAACGAGCCTGTGTCACCATTTAAAACCATTACAGAACATAACTGCGACAGCACTTACCAAAGCCTCAGTTTTACATTTTCGGACGGTGTCTGTAAAAGAAACAGAAGACATCTGCATTACAGGCAAAACAATGTTAACGTTAAACGCTGAAACTAACGTTACAGCGTTAAACCATAGAACGAACTGTCAAGTTAGCTTTAGCTTATGCTATCTAGCCACTGTTGAAGTAACTTAAGAGTCATTTTCGTACGTGACCATTGGAATGCTACAGGTGTAACCAAAACATATCGATTTCAAAATGTTCAAGATTGTTGCAAACGTTCGTAACTCAATTGCTCAAGTAAGCATCTTCACATTCGAACAAGAGCTGCTTATGCTAAATGCTAAAGACGAGCAGAAGAAACACTGTCTAGTCAGCGAAACAAGGAAGCCAATTGGAGTCTGATCTTTTCAAATATGCTTAGAAAATTACACGTTACGTATCTTGAGATAGTAACGTTATAAGGTTAGAGGTGCCGTTACGTGTACGTTAGAGCAAGTTACTTAACCTAAGAGGATATATCACTATTAGCATGAGTAGTTAATCCATCCAGGAGCTCTTTGTTAAATGGGTGGGTTACACGAGGCTCGTTTAAAACATCGAGTACTGGAGCGATAGACTAAGTTACAACAAAACGAGAAAGGTAACGTAATATTCATATGACAATAAGAAAAACAAGTTATTTACCTTGGTGATGATCCATAATTCCCAACATGGTGGGGTGGTACCACAAAGTTGTGTTGGCTCTTTGATTTCCAGCTGATGACCTTATGGAGTCACTTTGAATAGCGAAATGTCTTCCAAATAATATATAATTAAAAATCTGTCCAGTTGCTTTTGGACTTAGCAGACAACTAAGCTAACTGTTGGCGCAAAACCGAAGTGCCATATGCTCACAGCGGTCTTGCGATCAAAACTGCAATACTTTGCAAATGACCAGTTTTTTCGAAGATCTGATCACGGTTCAGATTAAACAAAGCTGAACTGTGTATTATTTCGCCCAGACCTCAAATATCGATGATAATTATGATGATATGTCGTCGATCAGTCCTCGTCCGAGTCGTTGATAACCAGCCAATTGAAGCCGTTGGCTTTATAATTACGAAACCGATGACACCTTGATTGTATCCGCAGACATGAAAAAAATACAAAGTCCGCGGTTAATTTCCGAAAAAAAATCAGAAACTAGCTTTTTTGCAACTGCAAACAAAAGGCTTGTTCGACTTCATGCAGCTCTGCGCAGACCGATCGGCGGCTGACTTGAAACCGTGCATGCCGGTTAGAAATTTTGTCCGACTTGATGCAGCGCTGACTCCACGTGACTGTGACATATGCCATCAAAGTACCGCGAGAGCGTTACGAGAGTAGCCGGAGGACTCAGCCAGCGCAGCTTCTGAAGAGCGGCTGCACGAGCTCTGATGATGTCACAGCTGTTCCACGATTCGCCGGATTCACCGCATGACAACGATCACGTGCGTTTCGTGTTTATTCTCACACGTTTAGTTCCACTAAAGCTCACAAATCAGTATTTTATAACAGTAAACACTCTTTTAATGTAGTCGCAATGTTATATTGTGTCATGTTTATCATGTTTATCAAAATAAAACTGATTAAAAAACGTTGATTCCACGTCATTGATTATAGGCTTATTTTGAACTTTATTCTAGTTCAAACAGATGCTGTATGAAGCAGTAAAGTATTGAATGAAAATGTGTCTGAAATATCTGAAATATCTGTTTATTTGGCAAATGTTGCATTTATTTCACTTCAGCTGTGTTATAAGCATGCAAACACCACGTGAGCCGTCACTACGGGAACCAGAAATTGTCCGACTTCACGTCTCCGTTTGCAGCTCCTCCCCGCCTGCACGCGGCTGTTCTCGCCGATCGGTTGCATCCAGCCGCAGGCGATGTCGAACACACCTAAAGTCTTGAACGTCTGCGTTACGCGCGGTCTCAACAGGAATCACCCTGTGACGCAACCGCGCAAAGAGCGCCAGATTCTTTGCCTGATGCATATTGATGAGAACGTAATGAATATGCATGAAAGTTCGTCAAAGATAACCCAAAACCTGCCAAAATGTCCAACGTAAAGTTTAATTCTATACATTGGTGGAATACCCGGTGCCCAACATTTTGAAAAATATCAACATATTATGCTTGGCTGGTGGCAGTTGAGCCCTGTGTCCTGACGCACAGGACATTGAGAAGCTGTGGTTGTATAGGCGCCATGTTGGATCATTTGCGCTATACACTTCCACGTAAAATCTCCACTGGGGGAGCCATAATGGCGCACTATACCATGGTGTATACGGACTTCCTTAATCCTGGTAGTCAGCTGACCTATGTCGTGACAATTTTTCTCCTCGCCACACTGGTAGGATATTCCACGGATTGTCGTTCATTTCATGCTAAAACAGTAAGACGAATCTTTTCTTTATTTATACAATTATTTTAATTGCTGTCAGATCAGTTTGTTTGGTCCTATCTCATTTTCTACTCTGGTGAAATCTGCTCATTTGCTGACCAGAGGCTTTGCTAGCAACCATCTGTCACCTGACATCCAATGGTTCCTTACGACAGTCTTCTAGATCTCGTAATTCAATAGTGCGTTTTGTAAAACAATCAAATCCATAACATTTCCCTTTGATACTCATCTGTTACAACATGAGTGTATAGTAGAGTGTTGATCTAAATGAATAGCGGTCGGCAATAGTGGTTCTGTTAGTATTGCTATTTTGCTATGTTGACATCAAGAAAGTCTTTAAATTTGTCATTGGTCATTGCCATATCATACCAATAAGACTGAATCTCACATTTGACTTCAAGTATTGCTTTGAACTGGAGCAACACAGTAGACCTGGTGGTTCTATTGGAATTATGAAAAATGAAAATCAAAACACGTCTTGGCAATATTGATTTTTTGATTTGGAATTTGTCTGAATGATAGTGATGCGTTTTGAATGATTCTCATTGTCTCACATTTCCACTTTCAGGTTTTCTAACACACAAGATGGATTTTTCCAAACTGCCTAAAATACGAGATGAGGAACGCGAGGATCAGTTTGGATATGTGCATGGGGTTTCAGGCCCAGGTAAAAAATAAAAACATGTTCTCAATGTTCATATATGTTAAGTACAAATTAAAGAAGTTACTTTGGCATAAAATTCAACACACGGCACAAAGTTTATCTCTCAAGTAGTGTATTTTGACTTTCTGTCACTTAGTCATGTGATGGACAGGTTACAGTCTGTGTGTTTGTTCACTGCAGTGGTGACGGCCACTAGGATGGCAGGTGCGGCTATGTATGAACTAGTGCGTGTTGGCCACTGTGAGCTGGTGGGAGAGATTATCCGATTGGAGGGAGATATGGCAACCATCCAGGTGTACGAGGAGACCTGTATCCTTTACCATTCATCAGTGATTTATTTACTCTGTAACCCTTAAAAAAGTTTTTAATCTAGTTAATCCAAATTTTGTTTTAGAATTGTTAGGAAAAATGGGTATTTCATATCTTATTTAAAGTTTTAGTAACTCAAGTATGGTTTTCTTCATGAAAATTACTGAAAGAAGCTGGCATGGGATTTTTTTTTTTGTTAAAAAAACTTATTCTACATTTTCACCAACACAGATACTCTGAATCATGGATAGTGTGTTTTGTTATCGAAAAATAAGTACCAAAAAATTCTATAATATGGACAGAATTATTACCAAGATTCAATAATTTAAAGTACCTTGCAGTATTATGTAAATATGGTATTCATTCATTACTGTGGTATGCGGCAGATTACCATGGTAATAATCATGGTGCGGTCACCGTATGTTTTTGCATGTGTTTGTATTTGTCTATAAGTTTTCCTGAGCTATCTACAGCTGGAGTTTCTGTCGGAGATCCTGTGCTCCGTACTGGAAAACCCCTCTCTGTTGAGCTGGGGCCTGGAATCATGGGCTCCATCTTTGATGGTATTCAGCGTCCCCTGAAAGACATCAATGACCTCACGAGCAGCATCTACATCCCTAGAGGGGTTAACATTGGAGCTTTAAACAGGGATCTAAAGTGGGAATTTTCTCCTTTTCAAAACCTGAGGGTAAGGAACTATGCGTGTCTTTCTCTGTATAAAGGGCCGTCATGCAAGCTATTTCGAGGGGGCTCCAGTGACAGTTCTGTACTTTTTTTCTAAGACGTGATAGTCTAGTGGTGGTATATTTTTATAATATGGATGGGGGCTGGGTTAATTTTTATATCATTTGAAACTCGACTGCCAGAGATCACCCTGCATTTTTTATTTTTTTGGAAAACAGTGGAATTCACTTTTTGAGACCACTGTTTGTGTTTCAGGGGAAAAATCCGACCCCATTATTTATAACTTTTTTGTTTTCATCGTAATAATTACTGCAATGTTTTTAGAACCATTTCTATGTTTAATTATGAAATGAAGCAAGGAGATACATTATTAACACCTTTACTGTCACTATTCCAGAATATTAAAAGGATAGTTCAACCAAAAATAAAAAATTCTGTCATCATTTACTTTCCTTTATGTCATTTTAAACCAATAAGACTTTGATGATAGCATTTTCATTTTGGTGATCTATCTCTTTAACAATATTATAAGTCTTCTGTAGCTTTTAGAAACAAATGAAACCATCAGCATTGGACATTGCAAGGCTGGAAGCACAGCACGCATCATTTTTGGCCATATAATACATATCTCACAACTGGTTGTGTTGATGCATTCATATTTTGTCAAATTTTAACCACCCACATGCAACAACTCCTTTGTCATATACAAGCTAAATGGCATATTTTGGCTTCAAAGCGGGAAAATTCACCAAACAGCAACAATTGTAACAGCAAATTATTTTTATATTACATTGAAATGATGTACTGCATGTTTATGTCAATTGGACCCTCTGACTGTTTTTTCAGGTTGGAAGTCACATCACAGGGGGTGATATCTATGGATTGGTGCATGAGAACTCTCTCATCAAGCACAAGATCATGCTGCCCCCCCGCAGCAGGGGAACAGTCACCTACCTCGCTCCGACAGGAAATTATGATGTTTCTGTGAGTCACATTCACAATCATCCTCACGTCCTTAAATACTTCCACACATTTATAGACGTGAAGAAGATGAGGATGAAACCTAATCTCACTAAATACTTGAACTTCCCTTTTCACTGTGTGCGTGTGTCAGGATGTGGTGCTGGAACTGGAGTTTGAAGGAGTGAAGGAGAAGTTCACCATGGTGCAGGTGTGGCCTGTGCGACAGGTGAGGCCTGTTACCGAGAAGCTCCCTGCCAACCACCCCCTGCTGACTGGACAGAGAGTACTGGATGCCCTCTTTCCGTGAGTCTCAAAATCACACTGAGACTGTAAAGTTTATATTGTACTTGACACTTACTTTAATATTTCTGCTAAGGCTGGACAGCTAATCATATTTTAGTCATGATCACAATTTCTGCTTTTCTCAATGAATAAAGCAGAATCGTCTGCGATAGTGGCCCTCTGGTTATTTATCGTTTTTTCCTCTCCTTTATCTTTCATTGGTAACAAGCCACCACAAGCTTTCATGCTTGTAGAGTTTAAATCCCCAATCGGAGAGTTACATTTTAATTGATACATTTTCTGCCCTCAACCTGGTGACCTGAAACCAGATAAACATATATGTTGGAGTTTGGTGATCACCACTGCCATTCTGCTCAGATGGATGTGTAATAAATTGCCGCCTGTGCTATTTGCTGCTACTAAATCTGTCAGCAAATCTTCTCAGCGATGACCTGAATAAATACATGATACATTTAATAAATCAGGAAACTACATGAGGTAAATTAAACTGTGCATATGAATTGACACACTCTTGATTTGTTGTTTTGGGTCAGTGTGTGAGATTTTTTTTTTTATGTAAATGTGATGATACACATGGAAACTTTTTGAGCAATGTTGCTTGGGCACTTTCCCTTTGAAAATGGGCAATACATTTCTATCTAGATAATGTAGATCGGTCGTGGGTCCGTTGTCTCATCTGGTTGCCCATTGACGGCAACATTGCCCAACAACATTGCTCAAAAAGTTGCCCTGTGTGTCATCACCTTAAGTCTCTTATGCAAACCTCATTTATTTGATCAAAAATACAGTAAAACGATAATATTGTAAAATATTATTACAATTTGAAATAACCTTTATATTTAAAGTCTGACATGATA